GTGGATAGGGTGGCACCAACAAGCCATCTTGAGTCTTCAACTGAGCTTGACTGTGGTGATCAACTGGGGTCATAGGAAGATGGGCTTAAAGTGTAGAACCGTGGATTTAGTGATTGTATGTGAGGTGGAAAAGAGTGAAGAATTGAGGGCTCTTCCCCCTCTGCCTTGCTTGAATAGAGGAGCCGAGGGGGCTAGTACAGGAAGGATGACCCTAAGAGGAGAAGGAGAATTGGGGAGATGTTTATCTTACTGTCAATTGACTGACAGTGGGAACCACCATCTCCTCCTGACCTGGGTACCTAGTTTTGTTTCTCTCAAACACTTCCTCTCTCTGGCTTCCTTGTTTCAGTAAGAAGCACTACCTTCTCTTCATCACTCTCCATCAAAAGCTCTGAGTCTTTCTGCCTCTTCATCACCTCTTCTCCACCAAACAATAACTCTTCATCTGATACTGTGGATTCTGTCTCTATGTTCTGGGGAAATGCACTAATTGGAAACAATTCACAGGTTTGTTTTTGTTGTTTTTCCTTTCATCACTTAATGGGCATTTGGGCTGCTGTAACTTTTTGTGTATTGTGAATAGTTCTTCTATGAACACACTTGTAGAAATGTTTGTTTGAATACCTGTTTACAGTTCTTTTCCTTTTCTTTTTCATGGTAAGAGCACTTAATATGAGATCTACCCTGCTTATAAATTTTCATGCACAGTACGATATTATTAACTATAGACACATAGCTGGACTCAGATCTCTAGAATTTATAACTCTCGCATAACTGAAACTTACATCTGGAAGGGGAATTTCTATTTCTTTCGGTAATTCTGGTTTTAACTTCATAAGGAACTGCCAAACTGCTTTCCACAGTGGCTGAACTATTTCACACTCCCATCAGCAATGAATGCGGGTTCAGATTTCCCCACATCCTCATCAACACTTGCTAATTGTTTTTCAAATTATGGCCAATCTTGTGGGTGAAAAGTATTATCTCATTGTGGTTTTATTTACATTTCCCTAATTACTAATGAGTTTACCATCTTTCATATGCTTTCTGTCCTTTTATATATCTTTTTTTATGGTAGAAATGTCTATTCACAGCATTTAAGTATTTTTAGTTGGCTTTTTTTGTTGTTGTTGAATTAAAAGTATTCTTTATATATTGTGGATACTAGATCCTTATTAGATATGACTGGCAATTTTTTTCCCAATTTTATAAGTTGTCATTTACACTCTTGATTGTGCTTTTTAATGGTCCTACATTTTAAATTTTGATGAAGTTAAATTCATGTATATTTATCCTGATTGTCCTTTTAGTGTCATATCTAAAAAACTATTGTCAAATCCAAGTTTATGAAGATTTACTCTATGTTTTTATTTAAGAGTTTTACATAACTCTTATATTCATTCTTATTTTTTTTGTTTTGATGAGGAAGATTGGCCCTGAGGTAGCATCTGTTGCCAATCTTCCTCTTCCTGCTTGAGGAAGACTGTCACTGAGCCAATATATTTGCCAATCTTCCTCTGTTTTGCATGTTGGATGCCACCACAGCATGGCTTGATGAGTGGTGCATAGGTCTGTGCCCAGGATCCAAACCCTCAAACCCCGGGCCACTGAAGCGGAGCACACAAACTTAACCACTACACCACCAGGCCAGCCCCTATATTGTTTTATTTTGAGATAATTTTGGCATATGTTGTGTGTACGGATCCAGCCTTCTTCTTTTGCACGTGGACATATCCAGTTTTACCGACACAATCTGTTGAAGAGACTGTTCTTTCCCCATTGAGTGGCTTTGGCATTATTGTCAAAAATAATCTGGACATATGCATGGGCTTATATCTTGTTCTTCCATTTTTTTCCATGCAGCTATGTGTCTGTCCTCATGCCAACACTGCACTCTTTTGATTACTGGGGTTTGTACTAAGTTTGAAATCAGGAAGTGTGAGTTCTCCAATTTTGCTTTTCTTTTTCAAGATGTTTTGGCTTTTGTGGGTCTTTTGCAATGATCTCAAATTAGACAAATGACTTTTTCACTTCTGCAGAAAAAGTCCACTGGGATTTTGGAAAGGGACTGAATCAGTTCTGTTTATTGTCTTGGAGAGCATTGCCATCTTTACAGCATTGAGTCTTCCAAGTCATGATGCTAGAATGTCTTTCCATTGATTTAGGTCTTTCCAATTTCCTTCAGCAGATTGAAAAAAAAACACTACAGGGTATAAGTGTTGCACTTATTTTGATAAAGTCATTCACAGGCATATTTTATTTTGGATGTTCATATGAGCTGAATTGTGTCACCTACAATGATACGTTGAAGTCCTCAGTGCCAGGACCTGTGAATGAGACCTTTTTGGAAATAGGGCATTTGCAGACCACGTAATCAAGTTAAGGTAAGAACCTAATGATTAAGATGGGACCTAATCTTTTTTGCCCTTATCAGAAACAGATAGTGGGCACATAAGGAGAAAGTCATTGAAGACAGGGATACATGAGGACATGTCAGCCATGTGAAGATGAAGGGAGAGATTGGAGTCATGCTGTCACAAATCTAGGAGTGCCTGTAGCCAACAAGAATTAAGAAGAGGCAAGGAAGGAATTTTCCCTAGAGCCTGAATAGTGAGCATGGGCTTGCTGGCATCTTGATTTTGGACTTCTAATCTCCAGAGTTGTAAGATAATAAATTTATTTTCACCCACCTGGTTTATGGTGATGTTATGACAGTGCTAGGAAAGTAGGAGGAGGTGGAAATGTATATAGTGTTTGCGAGACTGGGCTCTGGTATCTGGCAGCCTGACCTCATTCCTGAGCTTTCCACACTTTGGCTCTGTGACTCTGAACATGCTGCTGGATCTCTGAACCTCTACTTTCTCATCATGTAAGTGAAAACAAGATTCATAATTTTGTCATGAGGTTTCTATGAGGGCCAAATTTTTTATTACATTGAAAACTCACAAAACTGCATGCCATCTTGTTACCTGAAGGATATTGAATATCATTATAGAGACATTTCTATGGGGATACCATGAGACTTAGCAGCACCATGATCCATGTCTTGCCCCTACAGTATGGGGAGGGGGCCAGGTACAAATGGGCTACGTGTGGGGACACAGGCCTGTGTCCAGCTTCAGGACAGAAGCAGACAGTGGAGTGGGCTATGGAGGACTCTGACCTGTCACAACCACTTCCAGGGGCACTTTCTGTTGGGAGCATTTTCAATGCCTGCTGTCATTGTGCACATGCAGTGATCTTGGACTGCTGTGTTGTTCTGGGATATCATGGTGACTGGTTCTCCTGGAGCTCAGAGTGTCCCTTTTCTCTAGGCATGGATTGTCAGATACTCATTGCTGGGAAAACAAAGCTAGAAAATCTGGGATCCTAGTGAAGGGAGAGCCCTGGAGGAAATGGGGGACTCTCATCACGAGGCCCCACTTTTTTCTCTTCCCCAGAAGGAAAGTCTAAGAGAAGGAACTACTATCTGTTGGGTATCAGTTATTTCAGGGCCTATCAATGGAGTTTTCTTCTGTTGGATCCTTTCTATCACTCGAATATCATCTCCACTTTAAAGAAGACAACACAAAGGCTTAGGGACATTTTGTCTGCTCTTCAAGGTCAAGCCTCCAGTAAATTTCCATCTGGGAATGGAATCCAGATCACCCTGACCCCAGAGGCTGGCACGCACTGCACACAGCTGCTGCCTTGAAATTACACAGGCTGGGGATTAGACAAAAATCAGGACCTTGAAGCTGGGAGTGACAGTTCTACCAAGTACTCAGGATAACTGATATTACCCCTTTTCTCTTTTCATCTCACCTGAGTGAGCTGGAATTTTGGCCTTGTGATTTCACTGAAACTGCCACAACATTGAAGTAGAAATGATCATTATACAGAAAATACAGGGAAAGTTAGGTGCATTTGGGGGCAATCAGAGTGGCACTCAAGGTGTCCTATTGGCTTGGACTGTTTTGTAAAAGTCAATTCTGTGTATCACTTCCCAACTCTACTTCAGGGACCTCACATTGGCACCATGAGGTTGGACATGAAGGGAGTTTATACACCAGATAAATCGAGAAATGCCTTGAATAAGTGTTTTTAACAATGGATTTTTCAGGGGCAGTAAAGAACCATGCTATCACTTCAGACAGTAATGTCTTTATTCCAAGTGATGATATTTTTTAAGAAACTGCACAGGTATCGTCTGATGAAAAGTGAATGGCTTGTGGAGTCCAGAGAGGGTGTTAGGGAATCATTTGGATTGATCTCTTTCAGGCTGGATCTTTGTTATGCCAATTTATTGATTTATGAAGATAGCTTGCATGCTCTGAATGAGGAGATGAAGACTCTTTAACATACATCAAGGTATGTGGCAATTAGGAATTAAGAAGAATGTATTACTTGAAAATATACAAGAGCATGAAAGTGTAAGGAGGTGTGCACTGATATCTGCCATATGGGATATATGCTGATTTCACAGAAAGAGGGAAAGATAGGAGCCAATCAAGATAACTCAACAGTGGTTAGAAGGAAGATGACACAGTTTAATGTTAGAAGAGTCCAGACATGGTCCCTGCACATAAACAATGCTTCCTCCAGCTCACAATAATCTGCAGACAGGTCACTCAGCATATGCCCCAGATGCTTTTCCAAAACCTGCTGGGCACACAAGATTTATTTCCAAGGCTCTACCATTCTGAGAAGTGCTTTGTTCTCTCTTGTATTTATCTCCTGGCTGCATCTTGGGGTGTTGTCAGGCTGTGTCGAGCCTGAAATAGTAGAATCCCAAGGACCAGTAGGATCAAGCCAGCCACGCCCATCCGGATGAGATTCTCCACTGTGTAATCTTGGGGTTGTGATGCTAGGAATTACGGACAGAAAAGACACAGTGGTCACGTCAGAGAAAAATCAGCCCAGGATCCCTAGATGTCCACCCATGGTCCTTCCTCCCTTTAACAGGACATGGCCATCAGCACCAGCTCCATAACTGAGAATTTCTCCTGCTCACCACTCTTGGAGTCTGATTTGTTTTGTGATGAGCCGATGGTGTCAGCTGCTTCTGAGAATCCTAAAAATTAGGGGATGGATGAGGAGTTAATGTTACTCAAACCTTTCCTCTGGGCTCCGTGTTCTCATAATTCCCTCTGTTCCTCATGACATAACTGTTCTACAGACCCTTAATAAACACTTTCTCTGCTGTGGAAGGATTCCCTCTGTTCTCATTGGATTCTTTCATTCTCCCTTTGTTTCGTGAATTTAGACTTTGCTTCTGAGTCACTTTGGAACAGAGTTTGGGTGTGCCCCAAGGGCTCAGAATTGTTGAGAAAAATGATCTCCCAGTACAGAAATAGTTGAGTTCTTGTATGCTGTCTGTTCATTCTGGGATGTAGACCACATAACCCAACTTTCTCAGATATGAGAGCTTCTATTTATTCAACAACTGAAGACTGAGTATCCATGAATGAGAGATTGGTCATATATACGTGAGAGAAGAGAGAAAATTCAACCCATACAGCCATACAGCATAGGTTGGGTTAATTACAAGAAATAAATTATGTAATAAGGAAGCAGGTCTATTTTACAGAGTTTCACAAAGAGGGTCACACTTTGAGATGACATGTAAGCTGATTCCTGAATAGGAGATGGAGCCTGAGATGAGCCATGTGAAGAACAAGACTAGGTTCATCATGAGCTGCAGGAAGACCAGGTCCCTGGAAAGATCTCAGTCTGTTCTTCAATAAGGAATAAAGTAGTGTCTGCGGTAAATAGGGAGGGTCCAGAGGAGAATGAGAAGCTGAGGTTTGGGTGCTTGGCACATTCAAGACAGGCTCTAAATGACAGGAACAATGAGGAAGGTTCCATAACCATCATTGTCATCAGTAGCAGCAGCATTGTCATTCTCTCTCTTTCTCTCTGAAAGAACTCTAGAAGTTCAATAAGATTTCAAGGAAAGAAGACTAGTAATTCAATTTTACATTTGAACTTTTTATGCTAAAATGATGGGTTAGAAAGTGAGTTGCAAGAATGTGTGAATTTCTCATCTTCTTTGATATTAAAATCATGTATGGTTAATTGCACTCAATAAACACTAAATGAAAGAAAAGAAGGATAACATCTGCCCTCTCCATTTCAAATATCCAAGCCCGAGAAAGTCCACATTTCTTGTCTTCAAAGCCTTAAAGAATAGGACAATCAGAGGTATTGTAAAATTGGGTGAGCACAAAAAAAATAGGCAATGCTGCAAATCTCCTTTAACAAGTTTTAACATAAAAAAAGAAAAAAACAAATTACACATCAATTCTAATTATACAGTCCTATGTGAAAATTCTAAATATGCTTATATAAGTCAGAAGATCTTATTTATAAATTAATAAAGCAGTGGAACAAATCTCAAGCTGAACGTAGGTAATTTTATGAAAAGAACTTCAAAATGCATTTGAAATCATTAACAAACATCCCCTTAATCATCTTTTATAAGAAAACTTTATATTAATGAAAAGTTAATCTCCATAATCAATACACAAATTTACCCTAATCCCAAAGGAAATAGACATAGAGTTGCCTATTTTTAAGTCAAGAATCTTAATAACTTAAATTTGTAAATTTATACATTCGAGTATTGCTATAAAAGTTCTGAGAGAGAGAAAGAGCAATAATAGAGAAGTGTGCACAAAAAATGCAGAGTAGACATGAACTGCTCACAGACATGCTGTGTGGTGATCCCATAAGTGACCCCAGTGAGCCATGCACTGTCCTTCCTTAGTCTCAGGTGTGCAGAGTGGCATGGAGGCCTCCAGGTGAGCACAGGAGGGCTTTGTAGACTGGTACCCATGGGCGGAGATGCTTCTCTATTAGGAGAGTGTCTGGGATGGGCTCTATCCACACCCACAGCAGATCCCACCTTGGCCCAAACAGCCTCCTTTCCTGTTCTGAAGGAACTCCTGGATCCTCTACAGGTTTGGGTGAGGGTCTCCATCTAAGGATCTCTCAGAAATGATAAAAAGGAGCAGCCAAGTGAATGTCCATCTGTTCTCTCTCCAACTCTCCTAGCCTGTCCTCCTCCACCAGCCCAGCAGCTTCCCTGAGTCCCAGGTCAGGCCTGGACACAAAATTCTGTAAATCTGCCCCTCTCCTTCAACTCCATACATCCTCCAAAACTAGTCAGGGACCTGGGAACCAGGTGATCTGACAAGGGGAGGTGGCTTTTAGTAGAAAATTCAACATTTTTTATGTGGGACGAGGAAGTTTGAGATGCTACATCAATGGGGATTCCAAATCTTTGCAGTCTCCACAATACTGTGGCTTCCTCTTGCTAAGCTGAGGCTTCAGGCCTGATGGATAAAAATCACATGCACCGGCCCCCTGTCTCCCTCAGCTTTTCAATCCTGACAAGGTCAGAGTTACTGGGAGAAGCAGGACAGGCCTAGGGAGGGTTGCACCAGGAGCAGGTCTGTGATGAGCAAACTCCCAGATGCCCCAGAAGGTCATAAATTAAAAGGCCTCTGGAGGTCATGGCCACTGCCCCTGATTCAGACGGGGAAAGGCTTTCTCAGAAGTTCAACCTCCCATGAGAGCTGAGCCCACAAAGACTCAGCCCCACCTCCCAGGGGTTCCTCTCACCCCAACTCCTAAAATGAGCACCTTCCTGGGATCTCCTTCTGCTCCTGACTCTTGGTGTGTAGTGATGCTGTGTTTCTGGATGGAGACACCAAAAAGTCAGTGGGTGGAGGCTTCTGTCTTATAACTTCGGTCTAATCTCACTTCCTCTTAGGTTCTCTGAGTCTCATCCCATCTTTCTCCCTTCCTCAGCCCTGTCTGAGACTGCAGGGATGGGTGTCCCAGGGGTGGGAGGTTCCGACCTATTTTCACCTTCTCATGGACTGGACCGTCATCTGTTCAACCTCCCTTGTATTGTAATTATTCCATCATGTCCCAGACTTTCCTGTAGATGGGGTCCAGAGATGACATCCTGACCTTAGAGAGGACAGGGACAGGGGTTCCCCAACTGAGACCAGGGGCTCTGGGACCAGAGACCTGTCCAAAATCACCACCTCTGGGAGCACTGAGACTTCCTTAGCAGATCTCACCCCAGATATCACAAACCAAGAATGGGGGATGTGAGGGAGGGCTGGCATTCTCACCATGTCAGCCTGGCTACCCCCCCACAGGCTGGGCCACAACATCTCCCTCTGCTATGACCGCCCCACCCATCATCTGTCCAGCCTCAGAGACCCTGGGGCTCTGTGGTCCCTCCAGCATCTCTGCCTGACTCCCAGCCTCCCTGGGACACAAGCCTGTACTTGAGTATCTGAGTTGGCATTAGATCCTCAGAGAGAATCTCAGAACCGCCCTGGGTGGTCTGTGCTCCCTCTGAGAAAAGACATTTCAGTGACTCACCATTTGTGGAAACAGAACCTGTTGGTGTGGGGCTGGGGTTCCCAGCAGGTCCTGCAATTGAGGACATGAAGGGAGTGAGGGGCTGGGGCTGACCCTGGAATCCCGACCTCACTCATACTCTTCTCCTACTTCTGTCCTGTGCCACCACCAGGAGCCCCCTTCTACCCACCTGGCACCTTCTAGACCCCAGGTGAGAGGGAAGGGGTTGGGCAGGGGTAGGAGGGCCTCTGAGGGGCGGATCCCCTCCGTCAGAGACCCACTGCACCTATCCCAGCCCAGACATCTCCTGAGGACAGGGCCCCAAATAGGTTGTGGGAACAGAGGGCACAGGGCTGAGGAGCCTCACCTGAGACCAAGAGCTCCAGGGGATTGCTGGGATGTGACCACACATGGGGGTAGTTCTTGTAACAGCCATAGCATCTGAACGTCCACCTGTGACTGGGGGTCACAGGGCCAACAGGAAACAGGGCCTGGAAATGCTGATTGCGGTGTTGCTGTGAATCCAGGATCCAGGAGGGCTTGAGGTCTCCTTCCTTAGTGAGAGTGAACCTGTCAAATTCCAGTCGTGAGGCACACTGAAGGGTCACATTCCTTCCTGAGGCCACCACAGGGTTCGGCAGGGCTGAGAGGGTGGGTTTTCTGTAGACTCCTAGGAGAGGTGTATGCAGAGTGTTAAATGGGGCTCACACACCCCCATATCCCCCAGGGCTAGGCTGTGAGAGGGGAGACATCCTGGAGAGAAGACCCACTTCTTAACAGCAGAGCCTGAGGCTGGGATCCCTGAAGATCTTCTCACCTGTCACCACCATCTCCAGGGGGTCACTGTGCTCTGACCATTCTGTGAGACTTTGATAATAACAGTGATATTGTCCTACATATAGATCTGTCATGCGTGGGATGGAGAAATTTGTCTTGTCCCCAGGCTCCCGTGGATTCTCTCTGCTCCAGGACAATGGACGTCCACCTTTATCCAGATGGTACTCCCGGGCCTCCAGGTTCCCCTGACACCAGATGGTCACAGGCCTCCCCCAAGGGATCACAGAGCCTGGCTCAGCCCAGATGGTGGGTTTGGGGAGGGTTCCTGGAAGGAAATCAGAAGCTGTGTCATAGATATTCTCCACCTTCAATTCCCCAGCTTTCAGCTCCAAGACCCTCCCAGACATCCCCCATCCCTCAGCCAAAAACTGCTGTTCTCCATCCCCAGCTGCCAGGTTGGCCTCTTGTCCCCAGTGAGGAGGTGGGACCTGGGACATCTGGGGACACACTCACCTGCCTGAACAGGGATCCTCTGGCCCACACAGAGCCCTAGAAGAGAGCTCCCTGTGAGAGATTTGTACCCAAATCCTGAGCAGAATCCCTCCTCCCCATGAGCCTGCTGAGTCCTGGGGTCTCCTGACAGACCTGGGCCAGGCTGTGGGGTTGGGCCTCTTCCAGACTAGGGCTTTCCTTCCCCCTCCTCAAATCTCACCAAAGCAGAGCAGGGCTATGACGGTGAGGGTCATACCATCTCCTCCCTCTGGCCCGAGCTGTGGAGATGGAGGAGACCACAGTGCCTGGGAGAACAGACAGACATGCAGGGTGTGGTAACTCGAAGGCTGGTCCTGCTTGTCATGGTTGTTACATCAGCAGCCCCTCAGGAAGGGGAAGTGCCCCTCCCCTGGCTCTCATTTACAGTTTGGAGCAGTAAATAGAGGCAGAGCCACCACTTCCAGGTGAGGGTGACTCAGGGTAAGTCCTTCCCTTTCAGAGCGCCACCCATGAGGTCTACTTCACCACTCAGCCCAACCGTCAGCACATTGCTGTAGGATCCTCACTGTGGACAGTGGTCATCCAGACCCTGGAGATGCTTCAGGGAAGATACAGGTTCCTGCTGCACTGCAGAGCTCAGATCATCAGACACGCATGCTCAACATCTAATTGAACAGTTCAGGTTGAGATCATTGTGACAATGAGCACAAAGGAGAAATACAGTGAAATAACGGAAGGAAACAACAGTCTTCTCCTGGCCCCGGAATGTAGGCTTTCTCTCTATCACAGCCCCCTTCACAGACTTCTCTTTCTTTTTTTGCAACAGTGTCCACTTCCATCTCTCTGGGAACAAACCTCTGAGTCATTCCTGCCTCCTCAGAGCCCTTTGTTCTCTAGGGCAGAACACTCCTCGTCATCGTGGGTCCTGTCTTCAGCTTTAGGGATCAATAAGTGAGTAGTGCTCTGATTTGGAGGACAAAGCTGTTTCTTAGTCATATATACCCCTGTCATCCACTGCCCAAGTGACCTTGATAATTAATGTCCAATCTCTGAGCCTCAGATTCCTTGTCTTGTCTGCAGCATGTTGTCATGAACCCCACTCCTCAGAGTGGCTGTGGGGTCAGTGGTCCCATGATGTGGGAGGGATAAATCATTGTTAATTCCCAGATCTGATTAAGATGTGTAGGATTTGGAACATGAGAGGATCATTGTGTCAGACTCCACACTCAGGTCGGATGATTGATGTGTCCACTCAAGAGCCCCTAACCATTCCTAGCAATGAGAAATGCTGTTTATAATGTTTGTGAAATATGTAGTCACACTCAATTGAAGAAAAAGAGAAATGAAAATTCCAAAATAGAGAGGAAACAAAAACAAAAACAAAAATACCAAAGCTGAGTGGCCACAGGTGCCTGGGACCATCAAGAGGTCATTAGATTGGAGGTTTTCACGACTGTGTGGACAGGAGAGGGACCCCAGGTCATCACAGGCAGGGAAGGAAGCAGAGTTCAAGGTGAAAGTTGGGAGCTGAAGTCTAGTGCCCCATTTTTGAAGGCAGGCACTGGAATATCTCTGCCCACAGACCTGGGGCTGTGGTCAGCATTGAGCTACACCCTGTTTGTGTTTATGAAACAGATTCAATTCATCTGACCATGTGTGAGTGTGGAGCTCATGGTGGAGCCAATTCTGCCAGCACATTCCTAGTCATATGCTGAATTTGGGAGAGTAGACGCCATGGGGCAGGATGGCTGCACTAATCCACTCTTTTAAGCCCTGAAGGTCAGGACAGCCCTGGGAGAAACTCTATATGGAAAATCAGGTGTGTGGGAGGTGAGCATCCATGAGGAATGGACATCAAAAAGAAACCCTAGCAGTGATGAAGAGTGCAATGAAAGACAGTCTACAGAGTCACTAATGAGGGCTGTCATATCCAAAGAAATAGAATACTAAAATATACAACACTCATTTTAATATGAGTTTGTTTAAATATCTGAAAAAGTAAAGGAGGAAATTGAGTTCTTGAAACAACAACAGAGGTTATACTAAAGAAGAATATAGATTTTAGAAATGAATTTGGCAAATACTTAGGGGTAAAAAAGCTAATAACTTTCATTTAACACACTCAAAATATTATTTTCATAAAGGAGGTGGAACAACTGAAGACCCAATCATAAAACTGGAATACCAGATTGAGGGAAATTTGTAGCAGGCAACACAGAAAAATTGGAATTAGACAATTAAGATGCATGGGAATAAAAAGAGAAGGACAATGAATGTTGAGTTTCAGGAGGAAGACAGTGAGAATGACGTCAGCAGCAGTCCTAGAGGCAAACGGTGGGCATTTTGTAAAGATGTAGAAGATGTAAGTGCTCGGGTGCCTGAGTATACAAATGAAATCTGAGTCTTGATGTATCATGGCAAAACAAAAGAAATTGATGGAGGAAAACATTTCAAAAAATGTCAAGGGACATGGGAAAAGTACATTCCCAAGGAATCGTGAGTGAAGAATTCCATACTAACCCAAATTGTTATTAAGGGACAAAGGTAAAAGGATGAGAAGGGGAGAAATTCGTAAGCGCAAGGAGGCTTGGGATATATCCAACCTGTTTGGCTTCATGTCTCACATGTTAAACCTTCCACATCAGGCTTCATCTTCATGAAGGATGAGGAGAGCATTTGGGGGTAGATCTTTAACCATCAGATGTATTTTCTCCTCCATGAAGTTGGATCATATCCTCTACTTAAAAAAGAACGTGCTTTCAAGTCTCGATTAAAAGAAAGAGTGAAAAATAAGGCGTTTCAAGATATACAAAGTTCTACACATTTTGCTGTTTTCATGCTCACTAAAGCAAAACTAGAATATGAAATTAAGCCAAGAGAACTAAACAGAGAAAGTTAGATGCAAAAGTGAGAAAAAGATGGGAAAAGAAATCAACATTGGAGAACTATATTTGTATATACAAGCACATATACATTTGTATTTAAGGAAGCTGAAACAAAATATTTGGAGTGTTTCTGTGTTTTTGTAGGCATGTGTGGGTGTGTATGAGAGAGAGATTTTGAAAGAAAGTAAGTACTAAAAGTTTGGCTATTGTGTAATGTTCCTTTATTATCTAAAGGAGATAGTGAATAAAAACTTGTCAAAATTATTAATGTAAATACCAATATTAACAATGATAATAACTATCTAATATTAGAAATGCAATGTATAACCTCCAAACAAATTGATGTAATTATATAAGACAAATAAATCATGATCAAATGAAAAGTGGTCTGGAAAGTTGAAACAAAAATAGGAACATGCAGACTATCTTAATCCAGAATGAGCCCACACTTAAATATGGTGGTATTAATTTAAAATTATTCCTTTCTTACCAAATATTAAAAGATTAATTGGCTAACTCGAGGGTTAGATTAATTATGCCCACTGGAAAAAAAAAACAGATATATATAACAATAAAATCTCACCTGAAACAAAGTCATTAAAATTATTTTAAATCAATAAAGAATTGTTATTATTATTGAATAAAAATAGTGGATAGCTACAAATATCCAACAAAATTGAACACAAAACAAAAAGGTTTTCATAAGGAAAAATTATTTTATCTTTAAGTAGTGTATTTACTTTGAGGATATAGCACTCGTAAAGGACATTCATCTAATCAATCTTCATGAAATACATAAAGCAGAAGTAAATATGCAATTGGTGATTCAAAAAGACTTTATGAGATAGAGTAAGGAGATGAAAAGAACTCTTTTATAAGAGTAAATTTCATACTTAAAAGCCTGACCTAGTGTGTATAAATATTACAAAGCTTTGTATTATCCATGTTATAAATATATGCATAAAATGACTTGTGATATATATGTAAAAAACAAGTAAAGAAATAAAATATGAGGCCATGTAGTTAGAAACAAGGAGAGAATGCATATATTTTAGGCCCATACTATACCTAAAATATTAAGCATTTATTAGCCAAAAAAGCAAACATCTCCATTTCTTTTCAAATTTCTAGCTTATGAATTATATTCCCTGAGTAGGCTGCAATTTAATTAGTAATCAACAAAAATAAGGTATTATAAAAACATCTAATACTTTATGAAATTAGTAAAATAGTCAAACATCAAATATTTGTTTAAATTTATGACATTAAGAAAAAGAGATGATGAAATTACAACATATCAAACCTCAGAGAATGCCAGAATAAAAAAAGCAGGCATACAGAGAGCTGTCATCAGGATGGCAGAACAAGAATTCCTACCATCATGCTCCCACAGAATGATTTTGACAGTCAAAATCAGAAAGAGGTGAACCTTATCTCTAAAGTAACCCCAAGTCCATAGTGATGACCTCCCTCTCAATACAGATGCAAGGGATGTGATAGGTTCAGAAACTCACATGAACGCATTTTTAGTTCATAATTACACATCTTGTGATATAGGGCAATATTTTCATAGATCCAGTTTCTCACCTGGGTAGGGGCTCATTGTGTGATTAGACTCATGTGAAGCTGAACAGGTAAAAGGTGATCTTGTTTTGAGGGAACCTCAATGAGAACAAGTGAGGTATTTGATATAATAGATCAAGAGCAACTTTGGTTGATATCTGTTGTCTAGTGAAGGCTATGACTTTCTCCATCCTACTTCCATCCCACCTCACTAGATTGTATGGAATGTAAGCAAAAGTTATAACTATAAATGTGTTATTTACCAACAACAACAATAGACTTGTGAGACAATAAATGAAAGTCAAGAAGAAAATTGTCAGTGTTCCAGAAGACTCTGAGGAATCCATCTTGAACAAAACGTTACAACATCTCTTTATAGTGTACCATAGTTTTTTAATAATGAATTTTTCTGAGAGCTGGTTTACCGGTACACCACTTGACTTTCACTTCAAACACCAGTGTGCTCACACTGTTAGTATTTCTGGAGAAACATACCAGGTATCATCTGTAAAGGAAAGAAGGGTTTAATAGTTCCAGAGAGGGTTTGGGGGAATTATTTTGGATTTATCTGTTCTAATTTTCACCCATTTATTCAGTTATTTAAAAAAGATTCTGTATTCTGACCTGAAGGAATACAAACTTCTGGTAATGTGGTAAGTGAAAACAGAGAAAAATATATTAAATTAAAGTGGCCCAGAGCATGAAGTTGGGTATAATGTGGACCTAAACATGCCACGTGGGGTAAAGTCAGGTCATAGGAATGAGAAAAGAACAATCAATAGGGGTAGGGAGGGAAATTACCACAGTTTCGTTACAAACAAAGCCTCTACAGAAATAACCCAGACATTTTCCTGCACCTGAACCATGTTAACATTATCAGTATTCTCAGCAGACAGTTCCCCCAAGTTATGCCCCAGATTTTCTTTCAGAACCTCTTGGTATTATCAGATTTATTTCTAAGGCTCTACCTTGCCAAATGATGGTTTTGTTCTCCTGGCTGCAACTTTAGGTGATTCTCTGACAGTACTGAGCTCAAAGCAGCAGCACCCTGAGAACCACAATGATCAAGGGAGAGATACCCATTTTGGATGATATTCTCCCCTATGCAGTCTTGGGTTTTTTACTTAGAGATTGAGGACAAAGAGATCATAGTCATCAGGGAAGACTGACATCACCCCAGGATCCCTGCATGTTCATTCTGGGCACCTGCCTTCTGTTGGCAGGATTTGAGCCTCTGTCTCCAGCCCCATGAGAGAATTTCTCATTACTCATTCCTCTTAGAGTCTGATTTGTTTTCTTATGATCTGAGGGTATCGGCTACTCCCAAAAGCCAAAAATCGAAAGTGCTGGTGAGGAAACTTAGCCATGCTTAGGTAATCTCTTCTCTGACCTCCAGTGAGTCTCTAAAACTAGCTAACGCCAATCTCAATCTCTTGAGGTGGTTATCTCCCATGTCAATTCTTCCATCTAGTTAGAAAGCAAAGATGAACATCTGGAGCTTAATTTTGCCCTGATAATCAGGAATATGAAGGAGTGAAGGTCTGTGTCTACATTTCAGTTCCTCCATTTCGGCCAGCTCTTTTTGTGTCTGGATCAGAATTATATATTTCATATAATTTTCCTTTCCTCTGTCTATCAATCTATTCCTTTAGAAAATTAACGTTGGAATATCTACAACACATCAGGCAAATTTCCTGGATGAAGGATAACCACAATTAACACAATCTCTAACTATTCTTTCAGTTTGTATAATAGGTAGGAAGACTATAAGAAATAAGCAAAAAAAGGTAAATGATGAAAGAAAATATTCAAATGGATACATATACAAAAATAGAGATACCGATAGACATAAGATAGGTTCTGATAATTTAAGAAAAGAAATGCTAGGGAATACCAGGTAACACTGAGAGGGAGGAAGGGAATACTAGACATAAGCTCTTATGGAAGATGATTCAGAGGATGATCTGATCTGACTGACAACCTGGTGCAGTTGGAAATTGGGCAAAAATATTGCCCTTCTTCTCCCCCTATCCCATAATGACAGTACTTCCTGGTGGATACAGAACATGCTCAGAGGGGATAAAAGTCCCCAGAGAAGAATTTCTAGGCATTCTTCCACAGAAATTCACTGGCCAAGAACTTCAGAACTAATTGAGCCTTTTGAAATCCAGGATAGGATTCTACTTTTGATCGATGAGAGAATAAAGTTTCAGATTTAGATGGAATTTTGTCAATGTCTCAATCAAAGGTGGCTGAGCCAACTCAACTTAAGCTTATGACTTCCAGTGAATGCCCCAACCTCCTCCTTCTGAAGAAGGAGGATATCTTTATTCTACTCTTTCAAATGTGCCATGATGACTCTTATGGACTCCCAGAAATCAGCACCACGGACAGAGATGGAGTCAGTTCTTTTCTCCTCGCTTCAGTTGAGGCTCTTCCCCTTCATATATTTCCTCTCCTACTGACCACATAGATTCCTTCCTGACCCCACCACAGCACCTGGGAGGGCTGAGAGGAAGGGTGCGCTGACACTCCTGAGGGAGAAGAAAGGAGTTGTATTAAAGGGTGGGACTGTCGGCCCACATACACCAGGTGTGGGCCATGAGGGCTGAGGTCCACTGATCCCACACTCCATTCCCCTGTGCCTGTGAGGAGGAGCCCATAGTGAGGAGGGCGCCAGACTCCTCCCTTTTACCCATCACCACCAGGGACAGAAGGTCACTGCACTCTGAACATTCCTCCTGGTGTGATCTGCACACTGATATAGCCCTGTAGTGTGTGCACTGTGGGTTCAAGGGAGGAACTGTCTCATTGCTGTAGTCTTGCAGACCACTGTATCCAAGGATTTAGAGATCCTCTCCTTAAATAGATGTTAGCCATCAGCCTCAGAGACCCCTGACACCAGATGGTCACAGGGCTTCCAGAGGTGACCACGGGGCCTGGGTCAGCCCAGATAGTGAGTTTGGGGGGGTGTCCTGGAAAGGAGACAGACCTGAGTGTCAGGGGAGCCCTCCTCCCCTCAGCTTCCCCAGCTGTCACTCAAGGCCACATTCAACTGGTCACCATCAGCACAGACCCTCTGTGTTACCCTAGCTGTCTTGGGAAGTTCATTGTTCTAAAGAAGGTGGTGTGAGGGAGGACTCACCCACTTGTACTTGGTCCCACAGGCCCTGACACTGGAAGAGAGTTCTCTGTGTGAGCATGTCCCCCCCAACTACACATAGAAGGCCCAGACCTTGCTGGGGACCCTGAGTACTGGAGCCGGTTCTAGGCACTGAGCCCACTCTCCTTCCTCAAGAAGATATACCTCCACTGAGCCTCCTGAGTCCTGGGGTCTCTCAGAGACCAAGACCTGGGAGGAGAGGGGAACCATCACTCCTATTTTCCCCCAGTTTGCTGAGCCAGAGAAAGGCTGTGAGAATAGGTGTTCTGGTGCTGCATCCCCTGGTCTACAACCATGCAGACAACTTATGAAGTCTACAGAGGCCAGCAAGATGGACAGACACATAGGATATGAAAAGGTCTGGGCTCCATGTGACATATCACGGGTTTCTCATATGTGGCCTCAGAGGAAGAACAGCCCCACCCAGGACCTAGTTGTTGTCTCCCTAAAGGATGGGGCCAAAAAGACAGCATGCTTGAGAATCTGCCAGACCAGATATGAGTCTCCAGACCCCACAAATTCTGCCTCCACCGCATGCCAAACCCAAATCCAGAGAATGACACTTGTCCCAGAACATGAGGATAAAAGACGCAGGGCAAGGCCTGGGAGCCAGTGCGTTGTAGTTCCAATTCTGACTCTGCCACTTATAGAACCTGTGCAACCTTGGATAAGTTACTCCCCTTTTCTGAGACTGCTTAAATGCAAATATTATTGCTTCCTTCTACCCTCCAGGCATCAACCAGTGTCTATTGAGCAGTCACCAAGTCCAGGCATGAGATTCAGTAGTGAAGCTGACCAATTTATTCTGTGGACTCATTGAGGTCTCATTAGTGACAACAAACAATACAGATATTTAGACAATGGGTTATTTGGCTATGGTTTTGATCAGTTGTACAGAAGGAGAAAAACAGAAAACAGAGAGACTCAATAACAGGTGGACATCTAGCAACTTTAGTGATGCAAGTTTGGGGACATTCTGGAGAAGGAGAGACCAAGACAAGGTAGGGTTAGCACAATTATGGTGAGTCACCTGCATCCTCGACCAGGAAGTGAGTGAACTAGTCTAAGAACTGTGAGTAATCAGGTAACACTGGTCCTTGGTCACACAAGGTCTTGTGCACCCCTGGAGATATTTCTGGAATTTGTCTTTCCGACAGCAGGAACATCTTCAGTAAAGGAATGCATGAAGAGACTTCTATTTTGAGAAGAGCACCACTCTGTAGGGACTGCTCTGTAGGAGGACCTTATTGATATAAACAGTAATGAAACTCCATCATTAATCTGATGATGAGTCAATCGGTAATCTAAGTGGCTTATGAGGATTTCTCATGTAACTCTCTTACACAAACCCTCAAACAAAAATACATTCACAGTTGAGTGGGATGAGGCAGGAAGAGTTCTTTGTCATTATCACTGTCTAGGAAGTTTGGAAAGGAGTCAGCTACGTTCTAATTGCCTCAGGGAGCCACCACGAGAAGGCGCAAATGTGCTAATTACTCAGGTTGCACGTGTGTTTGGATAGGGGAAGTGCACAACTGGATTGACTTTGGTTTGTAGGGAGGATCCACCTTGCTAAGACTGGAGACTTTAGCTCAGCCTGATTACCAACAACACGGAATGTCAAGTGGAGAAAGTGGGAATTTACTTGAAGGAGGGAAGAGATGTCTGGAAGGGTTTTGTGCAGGAGAGGGTCAGTGACACATAGGTTTGAGGCCATGAAAATAAAACTCTTCTTCAGAGAGTAGGGGCCTGGGAATTGGTGTAGGAAGAAGGCTTATAAGATGGCACCAACAAGACATCTTGAGTCTTCAACTGAACTTGAGTGTGGTGATGGAACAGGGTCATGGAAAGAAGGGCTCAATGGCAGGACTGTTGAATTTGTTGATTGCATGTAAGGTAGAAGAGAGTGGAGAATTGAAGTCTCTTCCACTCTCTACTTTCCTTGCCTAGAGGATCCAATGGGGCTATCACAAGAGGGATGACCCCAAGAGGAGGCTTGGGGAGATGTTTATAATACTGTCAACTGCCTCACAGAGGGAGCCACCACCTCCCTCCTGGCCTGGGTCTGTGGTTTCCTTTCTCCTGAGTTCTTCCTCTCTCTGACTTTCTTGTTCCTATAAGGAGCAGCACCTTCTCTTCATCTCTCTCCATCAAAACCTCAGAGTCATTTCTGCCTCCTCACCAGCTATTGTACCCCAGACAAACTCTTCACCTGATATTGTGGTTTCTGTCTCCACGCTCTGGGAAAATGCACTAGTTGAAGACATTTCTCAGCTAATTGTTGTTGTTGTTTTTCCATTCACCAAATTGTTGGGCATTTGGGCTATTGTTCACTTTTTTCTATTGTGAATAGTTCTTCTATGAACACATTTGCATAAGTGTTTGTTCAAATATTTGTTTACAATTCTTTTTCTTTTCTTTTTTGTGATAAGATCACTTAACACAAGATCTACCCTCTTTACAAATGTTCATGCACAGTACGGTATTGTTAACTATAGGCACATAGTTGTATGGCAGATCTCTAGAACTTATTAATCTTACATAACTGATACTTCTATCTAGAAGGGAAAATTCTAGTGTGGCAATTTCAGGCTTAACTTTTTAAGGAACTGCCAAACTGCTTTCCACAATGGCTGAATCATTTCACATTACCACCAACTATGTATGTGGGTCCAAATTTCTCATTCTTATCAACATTTGTGGGGTTTTTTTTCATATCATGGTCAATCTAGTGAGTGTGAAGTGGCAGCTCATTGTGGTTTCATTTGCATTTCCCTAATGTCTGATGAGCTGACCTTCTTTCATTGACTTGCTGTGCGTTTGTATATCTTTGTAGAAATGTCCATTGAAGCTATTGGGTTATCTTTTAAATTGGGTCTTTTTGTGGTTGTTGAGTTAAACGTATGCTTTATATTTTGTGAATAATAGACCTTTATTAGATGCATGATTTGAAATATATTTTCCAATTTTAGACTGTCTTTTACACTCTGGTTAGTATTTTTTGGTGCATATATATTTTAAAATTTGAAGATGTTCGATTAATTTATTCTTTGCTGTTTGTCCTTTCAGTGTCACATCTAAGAAACAATCGTCAAGTCCAAGGTTATGAATATTGATTCTGTTTTTATATAAATGTTTTATAAGTTTAGCTTTTATACTAATTCATCCTGAGGTAATTTTTGCATATGGTGTGTGTAAGGGTCCAGCTTCCTTCTTCTGCATGTGGAGATCACGTTTTCCCAACACGATTTGTGGAAGAGACCATTTTTCCCCATTGTGTGGTCTTGACATCTTCATTTAAAGTCAACTGCTTATCTGTATAAGTTTATATCTTGTCTTCCAATTTTTCCCCATGCATCTATAAGTTTGTTCTCATGCTAAACCACACCGTTTTGACTGCTGAGGCTTTGTAGTAAAAGTTGGAAATCAGAAAGTTTGCATTCTCCAACTTTGTTCTTCTTTTTCAAGATTTTTTAACTACTGTAGGTTTTTTGCAATTACCTTGAACTAGAGAAATGGCTTTTTCATTTCTGCAGAAAAAGACTTTCAGATTTTTGTCATGTCATTTTCTACATGTCTTGTCATGTAAATGAGATTTGTAATTTCCTCATGAGGTTTATATGAGTACCAAATTATTTATTACATTGAAAATTCACAAAGTTGCATGCCATCTTGTTATCCAAAGGATGTTGAAAATCATTATGAGATATTTCTATGGTGTTACTCTGAGATTCAGCAACACCATGATCCATTTCTGGCCCCCACAGTATGGTGAGGGGGCAGGGTACAAATGGGCTCCAGGTGGTGACACAGGCCTGCCTCCAGTATGAAGACAGAAGCAGATGGTGGGGGATGGGCTATGGAGGACTCTGACCTGTCACCGTCACCTCCAGGGGCACTTTCTGTTGGCAGAATTTGCAATGCCTGCAGTCATGCACATGCAGTGATTGGGGACTTATGTCTTATTCTGGTATCTCATGGTGCCTGGTTATCCGGGAGCTCAGAGTGTCCATCTTCCTCAGGCATGGATGGTCATGTGCTCATTGCTCTGGAAACAAGGATGGGAAATTTTGGATCTTTGTGCATGGAGAGCCCTGGAGTAAATGGAAGCCTTTCCTCAAAGGATCTAAGTTTTTTCTCTTCTTCAAAAGGAAGTTCTATAAGGGAAGGAACTACTATTTGTGGGGTATCAATTATTTCAGGGCCTACCAATGGGTTTTTTCTTCTGTTGGAATCTCTCTGCCACTCAAACATCATCTCCAGTTTTGATGACAACACCAAGATGTATGGATGCTCCGTCTGTTCTTCCAGATCAAGGTTCCAGCAAGTTTCCATGCAGGAATGGAATTAAGATCACCCTGCCTCCAGAGACCAGCAATCCCTACACATGGTTGCCTTCCTTGAAATTACAGAGACTGAGGATAATCCAGGGACAAGGACCATGGAGCTGAGAGTGAGGCTCTGCCAACTACTCAGAACAATGCTTGGGTAGGACTGAGTTGAGAGGCAGTGAGCCAGAATGGAGCCAGACCTATTTGTAAATAGATGGTTTGCCCAAATCCACTGTGTTGTAGGCAAATTACTACATTAGGCTGAGATTATCTTTACAAAGGAGGAGATGACCCTCACCTAATAGTTGTGTGGTGAAGACTCACTGATTGGGTGCATGCAGTGCCCAGCCCAGGTCTTGGCTCCCAGGAGGCACTCAGAAAAAGCTGGTCTGTACCACAATAACTGGATTGCCCATTGCTCTATGCAGGGCCAGGTTCATGGGTTGTGAGTGCAAGCAGACAGTGTTCCAAGCTGGGTTAATGTTCTACTGTCACCATCTTGACATTTGAACTTGGGGTCCTGCATTTTCATTTTGCACTGTATTCTAAAAATTACATACCTAATCTTGGCTCCAAGATTCTGTTTTTGTGTTGAATTGGCTCATTTTAGTAGTTACCTGATTGTTATGTCTCAGCTGAGTAGAGTGGAAAATAGAGAATCCTTGGACCAGGGACCTGAGAGTCCAAATTTACAGAAATCAAAGGAGATGGGACCTGAGGCAGATTACTGAAGATTTGTGTGTGTCTGTGTGTGAAATAAGCTCTTTTCTCCCTGTGTTTCCATTTAGTCAATCCATTCACCCACTTATTTTGTCAAAATATATCTACAAATATCAACTATATTTCACACAATGTACTAAGCATGAAAACTAAAATTTGTGCATAACTCATGTGAATCCTGTTCTCTGATCCCCACTAGTCTTGGGGTGTGAAAGATGCCACATAATTCATCACAAACTGTGTATAATTATGCACTATGACATGTGTTATGTATAATAAACCCTTGGAGGTGGAGATAAGACAATAAACAATCATAACTAGTCTTGGAATCATGGAAAGTCAACTTTGAAGAGGTAAAGTGAGAGGATAGAGCTGAAAGATGTGGAGAAGACTTAGCTGATGTGGATGGAAATGTTGAGAATTCCAGGAAAAATAAAGTGCGTAGATAAAGATCCCCATTTCAGAGGGATCATGGCTGCTGATCACCATGGGGACATTTTTGTCCTGGAATCAGGTCTGGATTGACTTCCCTGCAGTCCACAATACTTATGCTCCAGGAAATACAGGGTGGGCATGTGAGCACCCAGGCACTGGCCCAGCCCTGCTTGTCTGCTTCAGTGTAGACGAGGGGATAAGATGGAACAGATTCACAGAAGACAGCCCATGAGAACCTCTGACATAAGTTTTCTGTAGAGAAGGAGTGCTGCTTCTGCCCCATGACCTTTATCTGATTCCCCCTCTGTGAGGTCAAAGAAAATACCAGACATCCTGAGAGTGGTGCATTCTGGAACTAACTCCAGTATGTGACCATAAAACACTACATGATGGGGTTAAACCCCTCTCTGAAATCCCCTCCTGGTCCACATTCACCTGCTTTATCCTAATTCATATTCTTGGGCCATCATGAGTTCAGGAACTCACATGAACCCACTTTAAATTCTTAACTGCCTATAGTCTGGTATTGGCAAAAGTGTTTGTTCAGAGACTCAGTTTCTCACCTGGAAAGTGGCTCACTGTCTGATTGGACTTTCAGTTGAGGCTGATCAGGCAAGAAAGATCATGTTTTGAGGAAAACACCATGCCAACATGTGAAATAATTTTTATAACTTATCAGCCACCATTTAGGAATTAGTCACCTGTGTAAGATGTGGCTCTCACCACCCTACTTCAACCCCACCTCACTGAATTGCGTGGAAAACAGACAGTTTATAGAATAGATGGCAATATCGAAGGCAGTAATAAGTAGACTTATGAGTCATCGAATGAAAGTCAAGAATACTATTGCCTGTATTCCAGAAGATTCTGCTGTTTCCACCTTGAGCAAAACTATCCAACATCAACTTATTTGTAACCATCATTATAGATTTCATGGAATATTTTTCATTCCTTTATTTGTAGAGTTTATCTTAGGTATACATTTGTAAATAATACATGATGTCTCCTTTTTAATTTTATGTAAATGGGATAATTCGAAACACATGGCTTTCTACCTCTTATATTTATTCACCGTCATGTTTGAAGATGGATACACATGCACATTGGAATTTTAGTTTGTGCATTTTCTCTGACATATAATATTTGATTTTCTACATAGAACACTAAATTCTCTCTTTTTTGGTACGTGTAGTCTTAAAATGATTTTGGCTAATATGAATAACCCATTTGTCAATGTCCTTGTGAATTAATCATTTTGCATATGTACACATTTTTTCAGAGGTATATACTTAAAGACCATAGATGTGTGTCTCTTACTTTAACTAAATCAGTGTGATCTACTCTCTAAATCCATGCATGTACTCTGCACTCCTACAAGCAGTGAATCAAAATTCTATGTGTTCACTATTCCCTCCCACAACTGATATTATCACTTTTCTCTTTGCATCTCATCTGGACGTACTGGAATTTTGGTCTTGTGATTTCACTGAAACTGTGTCACAACATTGAAATAAGAATGATGATTATTCATAAAATACAAGGAAACTCAGCTATAATTCGAGGTGTCCTATTGGCTTGGACTGTTTTTTGAAAGTCACTTCCGTGCATCACTTCCCAACTCTGCTTAAGGGAACTCACACTGGCACTTTGAAGTTGGCTGTGAAGGGAGTAGATGCACAAGAGAAATTGGAAAATACCTTAAATCGGTGTTTTTAACAATGATTTTTTCAGGGGGAGTAAAAACCGTGCTATGACTTCAAACAGCAATGTTTTTATCCCACATGATGATATTTCTGAAGAAACTACACAGATAGCATCTGATGAAAAGTGAAGGGCTTGTGGAGTCCAAAGAGAGTGGTAGGGCATCATTTTTTCATTTATCTTTCAGGATGCACCTTTATTATGCCAATTTGTTGATTTATTAAAATAGCTGCATGATATGAATGAAGAGACTCCTTCAAACACATCACTTATGTGGTAATTAAAAATAGAGGGAAATATATTACATGAAGTTGTACCAGAGCAAGAAAGTGTGAGGAGGTGTGAACCCAAATCTGCCATGTGGGATACATGCTGATTTCACAGAAAGGGGGAAAGATAGGAGCCAGTCAAGATGTCATGAAGTGGTCATGAAGGAAAGTTCCACAGTTTAATGGCAGAAGAGTCCAGACATTGTCCCTGCACATGAAAAATTATTCCTCCACCGCACAATGAGCTGCAGAGAGTTCACATAGCATATGCAGCAGATTCTCATCCCAAACTTCCTGGGAACAGAAGATTTATTCCCAAGATTCTATCACTATGAGTGATGCATCATCGTCTCTTGTATTTACCTCCTGGCTGCATCTTCTAATCTTCCTGGGCTGTCACGAGCCTGAAATAGCAGTATCCCAAGGACCACCAGGATCAAGGCAGCTCCACCCATCCGGATGAGATTCTCCACTGTGTAGTCTTGTGGACTTGGGGCTAGGAATTGTGGATAAAGAAGCCACAGAGGTAAGGGCAGGCTAAACTGACTCCAGGATCCCTGGATGTCTACCTAGGACACCTGCCATCCCTTGATAGGACATTACCCTCTGTGCCAACACTATAACTGAGAATTTCTCCTGCTCTATTCTATTCTTGGGCATCTGACTTGTTTTGTGATGGGCTGATGGCTTCAGCTGCTTCTGAGAACCAAAAAAAAAGTGAGGATAGAAGAGGACTTGATGCAATTCAAGCCTTTGCCCTGTGTTCTTATAACTCCCTCTCTTTCTTATGACACAACTGTTATGCAATCTCTTCATGAACGCTTTATCTGCTGTAGAAGGATTCTTTCTTTTCGCATTGCATTCTTCCCATCTTTCTCTGTTTTTTGAATTTATACTTTACTTCTGAGTCACTTTGAAACAGAGTTTGGATGTTCTCCAAGAGCTCAGGGTTGATGAGAAAAATGGTCTCCCCATACAGAAATAATTGACTTCTTGTATAGCATCTTTTCATTCTGGGATACAGACCATGTAAGCTAACTCTTCTGGGTATGAAAGCTTCTGTTTATTCAAAAGCTGAGGACCCAGGATTCATTGATGAGAGGTTGGTCATATATATATATATATATACACATATATATGTATATATATACGTACGTCATATGTTGTGTTAATTACATGGAATAAATTAGGTAAGAAAGAGGTAGGACAGTTCTGAACAGTGTCACAGTGAAGGTCACACTTGGAGATGACATCTAAGTTGAATCCTAAATAGGATAAGGAGCCTGAGAAAAGCCACATGAAGACCCAGACAGGATGTGTCACAGGCTACAGGAACGCAGATCCCCAGAAAGACCTCACTCTGTTCTTCAATGAGGATTAAGGTCATCTCTGCGGGATGTAGGAAGGGTCCAGAGGAGAATAAGCTGAGAATTGGGGGTGGAGTTTGTGCATTTGAGACAGACCAGAAAGAACAAGACAATTGAGGGAAGCTCCGTCACTGTCATCATCATCATCACTGTAATCATCATCATCATCATCATTCTCTCTGTGTGTGTCTTTGGAAGAACTCTGGAAATGTCTATAAGATTTCAAGGAGAGGAGACTTGTCATTTGATTTTTTATTTGAACTTTTTCACACTAAAATCCTGGGTATGAATGTGGGTTACAAGATTGTCTGAATTTCCCGGATTCTTTGAAATTGAATTCACATAATGGTTAATGGCACTCAATAAACACTAAATGGATGAATGAATAAAAAGATAACCTCTACCCTCTCCATATCCTATAGCAAGAACCAAGTAAGTCTATAGTTCTGATCTTCAAAGCCTTAAGGAACAGAGAAAATCAGTGGTATTATAAAATTGTGTGAGCACAAAAAAATAGATAATCCTGCAAATCTATTTTAACCAGTTTTAACATTAAAAAGATTTTTAAAAATTACAGGTCAATTCTAACTATACATCTTCATGTAAAAATTCTAGATAAGCTTATACAAATCAGAAAGGGTGAGTTAACAATAAATGTCACTCAGTGTAATTAAGATCTAAATGGTTGATACTAAGACGTCTTTTAAGTGTATTCCACCGTGGTAAAAATTAAAGACAAAAAATTCAGGAGATGTACAAACGTACAGAAAAAATGTCTAATTTATATTAAGAAAAGAACATTTTTTCCTAATAAAACCTCAGTGTAACAGAAAAATGAACTGACATGGATTGGACAATAGAATTATATATACAAAAAATATAGATTTTTGATGTGTCTGTTTTAAAATAATTCAAGCTAAAAATTCAGTTCTTAAAGTGACACTCAGGTTATCTTAAAATTTTACTTTTTAATCATTGTCATATTATATTTTATGAAAATAAAATGGGTACACAATCTGGAAATAAAGAAGTGAAATTTCAATTGTATTGAGGCTGATATAGGTATTATCAGTAAATGAGAGGAGATCAATTGGAAAACAATTGAGAGGAGGAGAATCTATAGTAATTTGTTAGCATATAAAGTTAATATCACTAAACCAATATCATTGTTAACTACACTATAAGCTCCCCCTTAGAAAGATGGAAAAAGGCTTTCTCATAAGTTCAACCTCACAGGAGAGCTGAGCCCATGCAGATTCAACCTCACCTCCCAGGGGTCCTTCTCACCCCACCTCCTAGACTGAACACCTCTGTAGGATCTGCCCCTGCTCCTGCCTCCTGGTGAGTAGCAATCCTGTGGTTCTGAGATGGAGACACCAGGAAGTCAGTGGGTGGGGGCCTCTGCCTTGTAACTTTAGTGTAATCTCATTTCCTCTTAGGTTCACCAAGTGTCATCCCATCCCTCTCCCTTCCTCAGCCCTGTCCGCAACTACAGGGATAGGGTGTCTCAAGTGTTAGAGGTTCCCATCTATTTCTATGCTTTCATGGGCTGGACCTGTCTGTGGAACATGCCCTGTGCTCTAATTATTCCCTCATGTCTCAGACTTTCCTGTGGATGGGACCCAGAGAAGACCTTCTGAGCTCAGAAAGGACAAGGACAGGGGTTCCTCAGCTGAGACCAGGAGTTCTGGGACCAGGGACCTTTCCAAAGTCACTATCTCAGAGAGCACTGAGACAGTCCCCCCAGTGGATCCTACTCACATATCATAAAGAAAGGATGGGAGAGGTGAGGGGGTGGGGCCGTCTTCCTCCTCTCTTCATCCCAGCTACCGCTCCCCCAGACTTGGTCCCCAAGGTCTCCCTCTGGATGATCTCCCCAACAGTTGTCCACTCAGCATCAGAACACATGGAGTGCTGTGCACCCTCCCTGCATTTATGTCCAACTCCCTGCTTCCCTTGGAGACAAGCCTGTCCTTGAGCATCTGAGGGGGCATCACATCCTCTCAAAGACTCTCAGAACTGCCCTGGGTGGTTTGTGCTCCCTTAGAGCAAAGGGGCTTCGGTGACTCACCAATTGTCGAGATGGACCCTGTAGGTGGGAGGCTGGCACTGACTCTGGAGTCCCCACCTCACTCAAACTCTTCTCCAGCATCTGTCCTGTGGCCACCACAAGACCTTCCTTCTGCCCACTTGGCACCTTCTAGACCCAGGAGAGGGTGAAGGGGGTGTGAGGGGTCTTAGCACCTCTGAGGGGCAGGTCCTTCTCTGGGTGACACTCCATCAGAGCCTCCTCTCTCCCAGGCCAGCTCAGACACCTCTTAAGAACAGGGTCCCAAATAGATCATGGGGACAGGGGACAGGGCTGAAGCTCCTCACCTGAGACTAGGAGCTCCAGAGTGTCACTGGGGAGTGACAACAGATAGGGGAAGGTGCTGTCTGAACTGTAGCATGTGTAGTTTCCCTCGTGGTTTGAGGTCACAGGACCAATGGTGAAGCTGGCCTGAAAGGGAGCAGCTGCGTCCTGCAGACGAAGGAGCTGGGGAGCAGCAGGTGACCCCTCCTTGGACAGATGGAATCTATCCAACGAGATCTCAGAGCGACACTGCAGGATCACCTTCTCTCCCCAGGACACTGAGGGCCCTGGCTGGGCTGAGATGGAGGGTTTCTCATACATCCCTGAGGAGAGGAAAGCTATGATGTGTAGACAGCTGACTCCTCCTCACATGCCTTTGACCACTGACTTCTCTCCAGGGACTCTGTGAGCCACCTCTCAGCTCCTCTCAGTCCCTCTGGGTGGATGTCTTTTATCTCCTTGTCCCTCACTCCCCCTTTCTCACTCCCTTTCCCTAGACCATGGCCCCATCCCAGCCTCTGCTCCAGGACTCTCTCCCTGGACCCCATCACCACACAGGAGTGACACTGGGCCCAGGGCCCTGGGCTGACAATCAGGACATGGGGCTCCTCACCCACAATCAAGATGTCCAGGGGGTCACTGGGAGCCGACCATGCATGGGAGAGGTTGTGTCCACTGTAGCATCTGTACTGGCCCCCATGGGTGTGGCTCACATGGCCGAGGGGGAAGTAGGGGCTGTGCTGCCCATGAAGATGCTGGGGGGATGTGAGCCCCTCATCCTTGGTCAGAGCAAATCTGTCAAAGCCGGCTCCTGAGCGACACTGGAGGGTCAGGTTGTCTCCTGAGAACACCAGCGAGCCAGGCTGGGCTGAGAGGGAGGGCTCCCTATACACGCCTGGAGAGAAGGGACAGTCGCATGAAAGGAGACGCACACCCCACATTGCCCCCTGGGGCTACAGTGAGAGTTCTCACTGATCCTTCCCCAAGCCTCCTGCTTTGTAGTTCAGATCCCAGGAGGCCATATCACCATCCCCAAATCACCCCCAGGGCTCCACTGAGCACAAGGCTTAAATCAGTAATTTTGGAGTCTCAGGGGCACCCTCACCTGTGACCTCAAGATGTAGAGGGTTGCTGGGGTATGACCATGTATGGGGGTAGGAGCTGGAATTATAATAGCATCTATAGGTCCCTCCATGGGAGGCGTTCATGGGACCCACAGAGAAGACAGCCTGCCACCTCCCACGAAAGGTCCTCGATTGCATCTGTCTGGGTGGGCCAGCTCCTCCTTCCTTCAGCAGATAGAAAGTGTCCCCTGTGACCTCTGAGCTACATGAGAGGGACACATTCCCTCCTGAAGTCACCACATGGCTTGGGTGGGCTGAGAGGGAAGGTGCAGGGTATACTCCTGAGAGAGAAGGAAAGAGCAATGTTAAAGGGGGAACCGTCAGTCCACATACCCCAGGTGTGGACTGTGAGAGCTGAGGTCTCCTGAGCCCACACTCTGTTACCTTTCATGAGGAGGAGCCCACAATGGGAAGGTACCCAGCTTCTCCCCCTTACCTGTCACCACCAGAAGCAGGGGGTCACTGCGCTCCGACCAGCCCTTCCTCCTGCTGTGATATGCACACTGATACACCCCTGCAGTATGTGTGCTCATAGATTCAATGGAGAAACCAGCCTTTTTGCTGGAGTTCTGTGGGGCCTCTGTATCCAAGGGTTTAGAGACCCTGTCTTTATAGAGATGGTAGACATCAGCCTGCAGAGATCCCTGACACCAGATGGTCATAGGGCTCCCCCTGCTTACCATGGGACCTGGGTCAGCCCAGATGGAGGGTTTGGGGGCAGCTCCTGGAAAATAATCAGACCTGAGTGTCAGGGAGGTCCATCTCCTCTCATCTTCCTGAGCTGTCACTCAAGGCCTCCTCCCAGACTGATCACCATCAGTTCAGACCCTTCATGCTCCTTCCAGATGCCCAGGGGAGTCCATTGGGCTGAAGCAGGAGGTCTGGAGGGGAACTCACCTGCCTGTACCTGGTCACATGGGCCCCGACACAGCCCTGGAAGAGAGTTCTCTGTGACAGCATGTCCCCCACCCGCACAGAGAAGCTCCAGGCCTGGTCTGGGCCCCTGAGCACTGGGGTCAGATCTAGGCTGAGCACCTTCTCCTCCTCCCACAAGTTCTGCCCTAAGTTCCTGAGTCCTGGAGATCTCAGGGACTAGACCTGGCAGAGGAGGGGGCACTATTCTTCTTTGTTTCCCCAAAACTCACCAAGGCAGAGAAGGGCAGTGAGGGTAGGTGTCCTGGCTCTGTCTCCCATGATCCCAGCTGTATAGGTGACTTATAAAGTCCACAGAGCTCTACAGGAGAGACAGACTCAGGGCATGTGACAGAGTCCCTGTGACGCTTCATGGGTTCCTCATCAGAGGCCTCACAGGAAGGGGAACAGCCCCTCCCAGGGCCTCAGTATGATCTCCGTGAAGGATGGGGTTGAGGAGCCACAGGCTTCAGGGATCATCCAGACCAGATCTGAGTCTCACCAGATCCTCTATGCTCTGTCTCCATGGCTCATGCCAAACTCAGATAGAGTGAGTGACACTTGTCCCAGAACCCGAGGGTAGAGGATGCAAGGTAGGGCCTAGAAGCCAGCATATTTCAGTACCAATTCTGTCTCCGCCTTTTGTAGAAACTCTATGATCTGAGGTAAACCACTTCCCTTTACTGAGACTCCATAAATGCAATTTTTCTTCCTTCTTTCCACCATCCAGTCAATCAACCAATGTTTAATGAGCAGTTACCATGTCCAGGCATGAGATTCAGTGGTGAAGCTGACCAATTCCTCCCCTGGACTCACAGAGCTCTGATTAGTGACAACAGATAATGCAGACATTTAGACAATGGATCATTTGGCTATAGTTTTGGTAAGTTGTAGAGAAAAAGAAAAACTGAAAACAGAGACTCAATAACAGGTGGACGTCAAGCAACCTTGGTGATGGGAGTGTGGGGACCTCCTGGAGAAGGAGAGACCAAGACAAGGTATGGCTAGCACAAGTGTGGTGAGGGGCCAGCATCCTCAACCTGGAAGAGGATGAACTAGTCTAAGAACTGTGTGTGATCAGGTAACATTGCACCCTGATCACACAGGGTCTTGTGCACCCTGAAGTATTTCTGGATTTTATCTTCCAGGAAACAGGAAAACTTTCAGTAAAGGAAGATATGAACAGATTGATGTTTTGAGAAGAGCACCATTCTGTAGGGACTGCTCTTCAGGAGGACTGTTCTGATATAAACAGTCACAAAACTCATCATTAACCCAACGCCTAGATGATGAGCAATCAGTAATCTAAGTGGTTTATGAGGACTTCTCACGTAACCCTCACACAAGTCCTCAAAAAATAAAATAAATTACTTCACAGTTGAGTGGAATTAGACAGGAAGAGTCTTTTGTCATTATCATGGTCTTGGAGGTTTGGAGAGGAGTCTCTTATGTTGAAATTGGCTCAGGGAGCCACCCATGAGAAGGCACAAATGTGGTAATTACTCAGATTGTGTGTGTCCGGGGAGGGGAAGTGGCCCACTGGGAGGAGTTTGGTTTGTAGGTAGGAGCTGGCTTTGCTGGGTCTGGAGAGTTTAGCTCAGCCTTATCATCAACCCCATGGATTGACAGGTGGAGACAGTCGGAATTCACTTGAAGGAAGTTGGTGAGCTTTGGGAGGGTTTTGTGCAGGGTACTGTCAGTGACAGATAAGTTTGGGGCCATGGCAGTAAAATGCTTCATCAGGGAATGTGGATCTAAGCTAGAAGGCAGAAATGAGGTGAATGGTGTGGCACCAGCAAGAGGTCTTGAATCGTCAACTGAGATTGACTGTGGTGATGGACCAGGGTCATGGAAAGAAGGGATCAGTGGCAGAACTGTGGATTTGTTCATTGTATGTGAGGTGGAAGAGAGTGAAGAACTGAAGGATTCTTCACTCTCTACTTTGGTTGACTGGTGGAGCCAATGGGGTTATCAGGGGATGAATGACCCCAAGAGGAAAAGGAAGCTTGGGGAGGTGTTTAGAATACTGTCAACTAACTCACAGTGGGAACCACCCCTCCCCCAGCCTGGATCTGTGGTTTTCTTTCTCCCAAACACTTCCTTTTTCTGTTTCTTGTTGCCACAAGCAGCGGCACCTTCTCTTCATCACTCTCCATCAAAAATTCTGAGTCATTTCTGCCTCCTCAAGACCTCTTGCCCCCAGACCATGACTTTTCAACTGATACCATGGATTCTGGCTCCATGCTTTGGTCAAAGGCACTGGTTAAAGACCATTCATGGGTTTTAATTTAAGACAAGAGGGGGTATTTATTGACAGTCTACTTCGAGCAAGTAACATGCCCTCTCCCATTTTCCTCATTGTAGGAAAATGATCACAACCTCACTTCTCAGGGTTGTTATAGGATCAGTAGTGCCTGAGACATGGAAGGGTCTCAGTCTGGTGGCATTTCTATGACCTGATTATGACATGTGCTGTAAGAGACTTATGGTAGGAAGGGCTACTTGGAAGCACACAAATCTTCCCTCCTAGCCAAATAACAATATAAATCAGAAGCCATGTCACATCTTTGGTCAAATGGTAGATTACCACAGACTTAAAAGATGCAGGAATGATGGTGCTCATCCTGGATTCTATACTCAGCCAACTTCAAGAGTGAAGGTGAAAATTTCATCAGTGGGTTAATCCCTAAGCTCAGCAGCACTTAGGACAGCTCTGGTCTGATGAGGATCCTACGGCAGACAAAACTCCTCAGGGACGTGGGGAAACTTCTCATAGACCTACAGGGAACCATGTTCTTTTTATCGCATTTCTTTTTATTGAAGTAAAATCCACATAACAAAGTATTGTCCTTGGTAAAGCACATAATTCACTGAAATTTAGTAAATTCACGATGTTGCAACCACCACTTCCATCTAGTTCCAAGAGATTATCCTCACCCCAAAGGAAAGATGAAGCAGTCAGTCTCCACTCCCTCCTCCAGCTTAGCCCCTGACAAGCACAAATCTGATTTCTGTCTATTTGGGTTTTTTTCTTCTATCTGTTTTGTATAAATGGAATCCTACAAAATGTGACCTTCTGTGTCTGGTTTCTTTTACTTAGTTTCATATTTTTGATGTTCACCCACACTGTACTATGTATCAGTACTTCTCTCCTTTTATGGTTGAATAAAAGTCCAGTATGATGGAGATACCACATTTTGTTTAACAAAACTTGTCCAGAGCATGAAGGTGTGTATAGGTGTGGATCCAAACCCACCTTGCAAGATATACCCTCATTTCATAGCGGTGAGAAAAGAAAGGGCAGTCAGGAAGAGTCAGCAATGGTAGGGAATTCAGATCTCATTTCTGAGTCTCAGTGGAACACACTTTGGCAGTGCCCCACGAGGTCAGAACAATTTTCTCTCCAATTCAGAATTAATGGAGCTCTTGTGCATTCTCTGTTCAATATGGGATACAGGACCATATAAGCTGAATCCCTTGGAGATGCGAATATCCACTTACTTAACAGCTGAAGACTCAGGATCCAAAGATAAGAAGTTGGTCATCATGGGCTCCTGATGTTGGGAGCACAAAGAATGAAAGTCTGGGGCTGCCCCCCTTTTCACTCTAGCTCAACTAGTTTATTGGGTGCTTCATCATCCATTTAATCTCTCATATATACGCATATTTTTTCCAAAAGGCAGTGTTAAGTCAGTGATTCATCAAGACAGTGTTTCTGATTTTCTGGAGTGTGGACGTAGTTGAGTAGACCAATAACAAACACGTAAACCCACATCAGATGAAATATATTAGTTACATGGGTAAAATAACTATTTTAAACTGAGGATTATATAATCACGTTTATACTTACATGTGTAAACATCTTTATATAAATATATGACATATAAGTAAACTTCTAGATATATGTAAGGTAAGTGTATGTGTGCATATTGAGAGAGAGCGAAGGATTTAGTAGATAAGAAGGAGGCAGGTCTGTTCTGAGGAATGTAATCAGTGAAGTTCATTCTTGGAGATGACATTTAAGCTGATTCCTGACAGAGGAGAAGGAGCCTGAGAGGAGACACCTGAAGACACTCCTTTCTTCCTGAGTCTCCAGCTCTCACTGCATCTCACTCTCTGTGTCTTTGGCCTCAGTATCCCTGGGATTTTGTCATCTCATCATGCCACCAGGGACCCTCTTGAGGACCTGTCCCAAACACTAAGTCATTCATGGTCAAGAAAGAGACTTCCTCACCTGGGACCAGGGGCTCCAGGGGTCACTGAGGTGTGACCACACCTGGGGGTTTTTCCTGTCATAGCCATAGCATCTGAACATCCACCTGTGGCTGGGGGTCACGGGGTCCACAGGGCACATGGCCTGGGACTGCCCATTAAGGTTTAGCTGTGAATCCAAGGTCCAGAAGGGCTTGTGTTCTCCTTCCTTAGTCAGAACAAACCTGTCAAATCCCCACCATGAGCCACACTGGAGGGTCACATTCTCTCCTGAGGTCACCACATGGCTCGGCAGGGCTGAGAAGGTTGGTTTGCTGTAGAATCCCAGGAGAGGAGGAGGCAGCGTGTTAAATGGGGCTCGCAGCTCCCTCATATCCCCCAGGCTGGGCTGTGAGAAGTGACACATGCCTGAGAGCAGATCCCCTTCCTGAGGAAAGATCCTGAGGCTAGGACCCCTCTCACCTGTCACCACCAGCTCTCTGTACTCTGATCAGCCAGTGGGGCTGAGATAGTAACAGCGCTATCGCCCTGCATATAGATCTGTCATGTGTGGGATGGAAACTTGGTCTTGGTCTTGTCCCAGGCTCCAGTGGGTCCTTTCTGTCCTAGAACTCCAGGCTTCCCTCTTTATCCAGATGGTACTCCTGGATCTCTAAGGTCCCCTGACACCAGATGGTCACAGGCCTCCCCCAGGGGATCACAGAGCCTGGCTGAGTCCAGATGGTGGGTTTGGGGAGGGTCCCTAGAAGGAAATCAGAGGCTGAGTCACCAGAAATCCCCTACTCCCAGTTCTCCAGCTCTCAGCCCCAAGATCTTCACAGATGTCCCCCTATCTCTCAGCCCAGAGCTACTGTTCTCAGTCCCCAACTGCTCAAGGGTAGCCCTTCGTCCCCAGTGAGGAAGTAGGATCTGGGACACCTGGAGACAAACTCATCTGTCTGCACTGGGTTCCTTGGGCTCACACTCCGCCCTAGAGGAGAGTTCTCTGTGAGAGATTGGCCGCTGGATCCTGAGCAGACCCTCTCCTTCCCATGAGCCTCCTGAGTCCTAGGGACTCGTGACAAACCAGGGCCTGGCTGTTAGACTAGGTCCCTCCAAGACTAGGGCTTCCCCTCTCCCTCTTCAAATCTCTGAGGCACAGCAGGGTTGTGAGGGTGGGCATCATGGCATCCTTTCCCTCTGGTCCCAGATGTGCAGATGGAGGAGACCCGGGTTCCTGGCAGGACAGACAGATGCACAGGGTGTCGCCTCTCAGAGGCTGGTCCTTCCCGTCACAGGTTTGCCATGTCAGCAGCCCCACAGGAAGGGGAACTGTCTCTTCTCAAGAGCCTGGCTCTAGTTTCCAGAGCAGATCAGCAAATATACCCACAGACGACCCTTCCAGGTGAGGGAGATCCAGGCCATGCACTTCCCTCTCAGAACCTCTTCCATGGGGTCTCCTTCATCCTCAGCCCATCCATCAGAACATCCTTGTGGGGTCCTCACCATGGACAGTGGTCATACAGCCCTGGAGATACTTCAGGGAAGATGCAGGTTCCAGATGCACTGCAGAGCTCAGATCGGCAGAGACACACACTCAACATCTAACTGTACAGTTCAGGTTGAGATCATTGTGACAATGAGCACAAAGAAGGAATACAGTGAAATAAAGGAAGAAAACATGACTTCTTTCCTGGCCCTGGAGTGTGGGCTTTATTTCTAACACAGTCTCCTTCAGGGACTTCTCTTTTTTTCTTGCAACAGCATGTGCCCCCATCTCTCTGCAAACAAACCACTGAGTCATCCCTGCATCCTCAGTGCCCCTTGTTCCCTTGGGCAGAGCCTCTCCTCATGCTGGGGTTCTGTCTTCAGCTTTAGGGGACAATGAGTCGGTTAGGGCTCTGATTTTTCCAAGAAGTTTGATCTTTATTTAAATATTTGTCTACCACCCCCTACCTATGTGGATGAGCAGTAATATTGCAATCAGAATTTTTCCCCATTTTAAAAGTTATTTTGAATGTGAGTTTATGTAGGAGACTGAATTGCAATTTTCCTGTCTTGAAATATCCTTGTCAGGTTTTCATGCTGGCCTATGAAAATATGTGGGAATGTGTTTGCTCTATAAAAATGTCCATAAGACTAGTGTTTAATCTTTCGTGGTATTTGGAAGAATTCAACTGGGAATCTTGTCAGATCTTGGGTTAATTTTGTGGGGTGTTTTTAATTTTTAGACATAATTTATTTAATAGCTCAAAGACAATTCAGATTTTCTATTTATTATCGAGAGTGTTTTGGAAAAATTTGGAGGGATTAGTCCATTTTATCTAAATTGGATAAAGTTCTTCACATGGTCCATTTATATCCGTTGTGAAAGGATTTCAATCTGAAATGGAACTGGATGGAATACATGAAAGGGAGAATCCCACACATTCACCATCAGGAAAATGAAACTTAAGGACTGAAAGATTGATTTCTCATAAATGCCAGATTTACAGAAAATGGAAACTTATCCTTCAACCAATGAGCATCCATCAAGAACCACTCCCCATCCTCAAGTGAATGAACTTGCTGCTTGGACACTAACTAAATGCCCCTCTCTGTGCACTCCTTGCCCATAAATACAGCCCACCCCAAACCCTCAAAGTCCTCACCTGCAGATTCTTACCATTTGAGTGTTGAGAACAGCAATCCCTCTGCTATTCCTGAGTAAACTCAATTTTTGGTAACTGGAGCTTATCTCAATTTACCACTTTATTTAGGCTGGAACTGTAAAACACTGCAGGATCTGTAGTGATGTCTCTTATTTCATGTCAGATATGAGTAATTTATGCCTTATCTCTATTTCTTATCAGTGTTCCTAGGATTTTACACATTTTAAGAATATTCAATAATAAATATTTTGGGCTTTATTAATCTTATGGATTGAACGCTTGTGTCCCCACAAATTCACATGCTGAAACCTTAACCCACCATGTGGCTGTATTTGGAGGTGAAGCCTCTAAGAAAGTAATTAAGGTTAAATGAGGAGATAAGGGTGGGGCTCTGATTTGATAAGAATAGTGTCCTTATAAGAAGAGACACCAGAGAGTGCTCTCTTTCTCTCTGTGTGTCTCTTTCCAGGTTCCCACAGTGAGGAAAGGTTATGTGAACCACAGCAAGAAGGGGCTGTCTACAACCCTAGGAGAGAGCCTCCACCAGACATCAACCCTACTGCTCCTTGACCTGGGACTTCCAGTCTCCAGAACTGTGAGAAAATAGATTTCATTGTTTAAATCACCCAGTCTATGATATTTTGTTATAGAAGCCTGAGCAGAAGAATACAGTCATGCACCACATTAGGACGTTTTGGTCAATGGTGGACCAAGTATATCATGGTGGTCCCATAACATTAGTACCACATAGTCTAGACATGTAGTAGGCTGTACCATCTAGGTTTGTGTAAGTACACTCTATGATGGTTGCACAATGAAGAAATCACCTAAAGATGCATTTATCAGTCAGAAGCTGTCCCCATCATTAAGCAAATATTGATGTGGGGTCGGTGAGCTGAGGAGTCGAAAGAAAGATTTCTTAGACTCTTAAGATCTGGCAGTAGTGCTCTTTTATTTAGAGAATAGAATAGCAGGGGGACAGGACCCATGGGCAGTCAGAGCTTCTGCTGCGTGGGGACAGCACCCATGGGCAGTCAGAGATGCTGCTGGCATGGGGAGCTGCTGCTGCTGCCGCTGGCATGGGGACAGCACCCATGGGCAGGCAGAGCTGCTGCCGGCGTGTTGCTGCTGCTGCTGCCACCGCTTCTGCTGCAAAGTTGAGTGGAAAGTAAGGCTAAATTTAAGGCATAGGTATGTGAGTTATCTCTTTGCAAGACAAAGGAAAGAATGTGTAAAAAAGTTAAAATGGATGGGGCTGGCCCTGTGGCTGAGTAGTTAAGTTCGCGGGCTCTGCTGCAGGCAGCCCAGTGTTTTGTTGGTTTGAATCCTGGGCGCGGACATGGCACTGCTCATCAAACCACGCTGAGGCAGCATCCCACATACCACAACTAGAAGAACCCACAACAAAGAATATACAACTATGTACCGGGGGGCTTTGGGGAGAAAAAGGAAAAAATTTTAAAAAATAAAATAAAATCTTAAAAAAAAAAAAGTTAAAATGGTATCAGTGCCGGTAGGGTCCAGCCATTGGGCGGTCCCATAACTTTTAGATAAGAATCAAATTGGATTAAGTAAAGGTCAGAAGCTACCACCCTAAATCAGTTACATGAGGTTGCCAGACAGTAACCAACTTAAGTTCTTGCCTCTGGCATTGATTAAGAGTTTCTAGAGATAAGACCATCTTCCTTCTTCCTGGCACAGAGAGGGAGGCATCTTCACAGATAGAGGTTTCCCTTAGAAATGTAAATGTTTCCCAAGAAAGGGACAAGCAAATTCCACTCCTTGGAACCTGCTTCTCATCTGTAGTTTTAAAATTAACCAGCCTAAAAATCCTCATCAATATGACTGTATGGATTTTGGTACTGAGATGTGGGGAGCTGCTGTAACAATGACCTAAAATGTGGAGGCACTTTGGAACTAGTAATGGGAAGAGGGTGGTGGAGTTTTGAGGTGCAGAATAGAAAGACTTTATGTGCTGTGAATGGAATGTTGGTAGATACATGGACGTTAAAGGAGATTCCATTGAGAGGTCAGGAAGAAAAGAAGAGAGCTGGAGAAAAAGCCTTCATCTTCTCAGAGAATACATGATTAATCATGAACAGAATGTTGATAGAAATGTGGATGGTAAAGTCTGTTCCAGTGAAAGCTCAGACGGAAATGAGGAACAAGTTATTGGACAATGGAGAAAAGGCAATCCTTGTTATAAAATGGCAAAGAACTTGGCTGGAATTGCAGTCTGATGCTTGTAGAAGATAGAACTTAAGAGCCACAAAATTATATATTTCGTTGAAGAGATTCCTAAGCAAAATGTTGATGTGTGTCCTGGGTCCTCCTGACTGTTTACAGTACAATTCAAGATGAATGGAAGAATGAATTGTTAAGCAAATGGACCCAGAACTTGGGTCCATTTGAAAAATTCCCAGCTGTCCATATTGCAGGAAATGAGAAGATATGTTTGGGAGACAACTCCAAAGGTAAGGATGGACTATCAGTCAGTTAAGAGGTGAAAAGATTGCAGGAGAAACAGCCACCTTGAACTGAAGGGGATGGAGAGGGGAGAAAAAGGATAAAAAATGCCAGATTTCTTATATCTACAGGATGAGACCATAGGGTTATTTGGCTGCAAATATGTGCCCTTCTTCGAGAAAAGGGAATGATGACCCCAAAGGCAGTTCAGAGGTCATCAGAGCTGCCTCCTTGGTTTCAATGGTTGGGTCCCTGCCTCCATTTCAACAGGGCAGTTGGCCTCCTCTCCAGCCTTGAAAGTGGGGCCTCACAGAGAGACAAAGGGGCCACACTACCCCACTGAGCCATAGAGGTGACACTGGTGCCCCAGAGGGCCTGGAGGGCAGAGTTCCCAACCAGAGAGGATTATTCTGGAACCTTAACATCTAGTGGAAGTTGCCTTGCTATATTTTGAATGTTCTTGGAACCCATCACCCCTGTCTTCTTTCTAATTTCTTCCTGTGGGAACGGGATTCTCTCTTCTATCATGGCCTCAGCACTGCATTTTGAAAGCACATGACTTGACTGGGTCACAGGTCACAGGTCACAGCTGCAGAGGAATCTTTCCCTTGGATGAATCTACCCCTGAGTCTCACTCATGTCTGATTTAAATGATATTTAGATGAGACTTTGGGTTTTATACTTGATAGTTGATGCTGGAGTGAGTGGAGATTTGGAGGGACTACATGGATGGAATGAATATATTCTGCATAGGAGAAGACCATGAATTTGGGGGGTCCAGAGGTGGAATGTCCTGAACTGAACACTTGTGACCTCCCAAAATTCATATTGAAGCCCTAATCCCCAGTGTGCCTATATTTGAAAAGGGCACCTCAAAGGAAGTAATTAAGGATAAATGAGATCATAAGGGTGGGGTCCTGATCAGATGGGTTAGAGCCCCTATAAGAAGAGACACCAGAGATCTCTCTCTCCATCTCACACACACAAAAGAAAGGCCATGTGAGCAGAAGAGAGAAGGCAGCCATCCACAACCCAAGGGGACAGTCCTCAAAGGACACCAACCTGCCGACACCTTGGTCTTGGCCTTCTCGACCTCCATAACTGTGAGCAAATAAATTTCTGTTGTTTAAGCCACCCATCCTACAGTATTTTGTTGTAGCAGCCCGAACAGACTGAGACAACTGATTTCTCTCTTTTTATTCTTTCCTCATAAATATTTGTTCTTTTTATTATATTCTTTCATCCACTGTCTTGGGATGAATTTGCTGCTCTTTTTTTCTAATCACTTCAAATGTTCACCTAGGTTGCTCATGTTCAGGCTTTCTTCTCTTTCTAATAATTTCATAGAGGCATTTAATTTTCTCATTAGATCTTGATATGCAACACTTGCATTACCCTTTAAGTACAAGTATGTGTTGATGTATAGGATTTACATTATCATTTAAGCAAAAGAAAAAGTTATATCTTCATTTGTGCTTGTCTTCTCTCAGTCATTGGTTATTTAGAAGTATATTGCTTTATTTCTAAAAATAGAGAGCTAATATTTATATTCATCTACAGAATTTGGTGACTTCTAAAGTCCAAGGATCTCCTTCTTGCTTACAAAAGGTCCCCAGGCTCCAGTTCATTAGCTTAGTGTCCATGGGGGCAGCCTCACTGCCTTTTGGGGGCCCCGCAGTCTCCCTCCTTGGAGGATGGTGTCTGGGTCCTTCCTGGGGCTAGTGGACGGCCAGAGCTGCGTACACACTGGGCTCTGCTGGGGGACACTCTGATTGGGAGGAAGGAGGTGTGGTTGACTCCTGTCCAAGATTCAAACTGTTCAGCTGGGCGTAGGTCACATCCTGGGAGTCTTCTGATGCAGCAGCCTGGAAAGGGGTAGAGTGAGAGTCAGGGATGTGACTGGGTGGGGAGAACTCAGGCCTCCAGGAATGGAAAGGACTCACCTGACTGTCCCCTTCCTCTTGTCTGTCCTTCGTGTCCAGCAATCTCTCTGACGAGGGGGAAGGCAGGGTGTCCACAGGCCTCCTGAGACTCGAATGGTTCACTTGGGCATGTATCACTCCCTGGGGGTCTTCATTGTCAGGGCTATGCTGAGGGGAGACAGTGAGGAGGTGAACTCCTCTCCTTGCTTCCACATTTGTCCCTCTTCAGTTATGTTCCCGCTCAGAAGCCAGAGAGTTGATTTTAAAACATAAATCGGATCATATGACTCTCTTGTTCAGATACATTTTCATTTATATTTACAATACTCAGTATAAGACAGAGCCTTGCCAAATAGAGATTCCTAATAAATATTTGCTGACTCACTGAATAAATGAATGAACTGATGTGGGGTAAAGTACAAGTCTTAAAGGACATTCATTTAGGATTTGATTCATTCACTTCACTCCATATACATATACATATGTACATATACAGTAAATATAAACATACATAAATATAAATAAAGAAATACATATAGAGAGAGAGACAGAGAGAGAATCAAGGCACTTGCCAGAGGCCAAGAAGCAGACAGATAACAGTCCTGCCCTCAAGGAGTTCATGGTCACCAGGGTTGGGAACAGACTATAAACCAGGAAACAAGGTACTTTGGGGTGGTGATAAGTGTTAGGAAGAAAGTGAAATAGAGACGCAGTAGAGAGTAAGTGAACTACTTGGTTAGGACAGTGTTTCTCCACTCAGAAGTAACAGCATCTTGGCCAGATGACTGTCTGCCTTTGGGGCTGTCCTGTGAAGTGTCAGATGTTTAGCAGCATCCCTGGCCACTCGAGGACATTGGCACCCCACTCTCCCAGCTGTGACAACAAAATGCCCCTAAACATTGGTGTTGGCATAAGGGAGAGGGAAGAATAGAGAAAGACTTCTGGATTTTTTTTTCAGGAAGTGAACATTGAGGGAGAAACAACTTTTTGGGGAAATTTAAGAGTTGTGTGTGTGACATTGACATGCCTGCTGGATGAACAGGTCATTGGATATATGAGGCTAGTGCTCTGGCACGAGGTCAGGGCTGGAAATAATCACGGAATCATGAGCAGAGAGATAGTCCAACTATGCCTGGGATTAATTAAATGTGACCACATAAAATTGTCTCACGGTGAGGTTAACAAAATGGCTGGGTGGGATTCCTGTGACAGTAGAAGCAGAACGCCAACCATTACACCCAAGACATGTTATTGTGCAGTTCCACCACATCTAAATCCACTAGACGGGGGGATAGAGTAAGGAGAGCAAAAGGAAGGCAGAGGGTCCTAGTGCAGGGATTGGCTAGTTTATAGGGGATCTTTGTGTGAATAATAAAAGGCACACCTCTCAGATCCCACCAGTAGGGTCTCAAACCCACAATCCCTGTTGTGCAGTGCACAAACTGTACAACCATCCCTGGAAGAACTACCTTTATAAGACACAGACAATGAACAATTAAAAGACCCAAATGAGGAGACCAAGAAGGAGAAGCCCACATGGAATCAGAAAAACTCCACTGAGAAGTCTCCCAGCAGCCTGCATGTATCATCTTTCAAGAGGAAGTGTGAGGTCAGATGCTGCTGAGTGATAGGAGGAGGGAGAAGTAGCCAGGGGATTCAGATTATTGACTAGACTGTGCTGAGTGCCCTGCACAGGAGAGGGGGCTTACCACACTGTCCACCTCTTTGTCCTCCTCAGGCTGGCAATCTCTCACGGCAGTATCTAGAGAATGAGAAGATTCTACCTCAAGCTAAGTTTCCTGAAATCCTGCAGTCCCACACACCCCTCCCATCCTTAGGTGGGGAAACTGAGGCCCAGCAAGGGGCAGAGATGTGTCTGGGATCACACATATTTGGAATTTTTCATACTTCTCCAACCCCTAAGCCAAGAACCCTTCCCAATCAACCCGCCTGCCACCATCTCCCATCAGCACCACCTCCTCCCCAGTTACACTGGTTCTTCTGCTGGACATGAGCCCTGGAGCTGGAGCTGAGGGAAGGAAAACAGAAGCATTAGGTGGTGGTGAAGGAGCTGCAGGCAGAGTGGGAGATCAGGATCGTTGGGGAGAAATTACCTTTTCTGTGAGGCTCTGGTCTTAGCTCCAGGATCTGGAGTACCTGCACAAAGTTAGAAATCAACATCTAAATTACCCAGGACCTGGCCCCCAGGGCTACATTGATCTCATAGGATCTGAGCCCTGACAACTTTAAACTCCACACTCTCAACCATTTGGAATTCAACAGAAACAAGGCTAATCTGTAACATGCAAAACTTGTACAGATAATTTAAATAATTTTTTTATAAAACAGAAACAACATTTTTAAGTCTGAGCATGTTCTTATTAAGTCCCTTCATTCTCAATGTCTTCATAATATTTATTTTTACACACAAATTTATGAGAACCATCCTTTATTCCCACATCAATTTGACCTACATTCCTGGTTTGGTAACAGTTTGGCAATAGAAGTAGAAATAGACATAGAGACAGAGATGGAGATGGAGATAGAGAGAAAGTCTTGAGGGGGAGAGAGAGAAGAGATGTCTATTATATGCATATCTGTGCACACACATATTAACACATGCACACAAAAATAGGTAAAGAGAGAGACACACAGAAGTAGATAGATGATGATAGATAGAGAGATAGAGAGATAGATAGATAGATAGATAGATAGATAGATAGATAGATATAGCATGTGTGTGTGGTGATGGATGATAAATAGTCTTTGGATGGTGAATATGATTCAATCTACACAGAAATCAAAATATATAATGATGTACACTTTTTTTTTTTTAAAGATTGGCACCTGAGCTAACAACTGTTGCCGATCTTCTTTTTTTTTCTTTTTCTGCTTTATCTCCCCAAACCCCCCGTACATAGTTGTATATTCTAGTTGCAGGTCCTTCCAGTTGTGGAATGTGGGATGCCACCTCAAGGTGGCCTGAACAGTGGTGCCATGTCCTCGCCCAGGATCCAAACCCTGGGCAGCCACAGCAGAGTGTGCGAACTCAACCACTCGGCCACGGAGCCGGCCCCCTGATGTACACTTTAAATTTGTATGTTATAAACCAATGTTACCACAATAAAAAAAAATTATTGATTAATTAAAAGAAAGATAGCTAGAGATAGATATATAGAAAGATAGATGATACAAGACTAGACAAATATTTTTCTGATATGATGCACCATCACCCCTAGATACACCAGCATGTGCCTCCCATAAACTGAACACCAGTCTACATAACCCTAAAACTCCCAATCAGGATGTCTACATTGATGCAACACTTTCACCAAATCCTCACTCCCAATTCACGTTCCACCAACTGCCTAACAGTATCTTCTTTTCCCTTTTGGCCCAGGGTTCCACTCAGGAATAGATGTCACCCTCATATGCCCTGTGTCATCAGCCTCCTGCAATCTGAAGAACTCCTCAGTGTTTCTCTGTCCCTCATCCCCTTGACCGTCTTCAGGAATAAAGGAGTTGCATTCCATAGGATGACCCTCAATCTGGTTCCACCCAATGTCTACTTATAAGAAGACTGAGGTCATGCATTCCTGGATGCACATCCCACAAATGAGATTGTGGTCATGTCCCTCAACATCAAGGGCTCAGGATGTCCTCCTATCCTGTCCCTAGTGGTATTCCCTCTGATCACCTGGTCAAGCAGGTATCTGTCAGGTTTCTCATGCTGAGGTCCCAAATTTTCCCTTGGAGTTTGGGGATAAATATTTGAGTATTCATCCACTATCATGGCCCTCTTCAACCATGCAACTGTCATTCTTATTACATCCATTGATTACTCTAACCTGATCATGCACCATGCTGGTAACTAAATAATCATGGTCTCTTTTAATTACTCCAGCCTTGATTAGTTGGCATTCTACTCTAACGTTTTCCCGTGTATTAATTTATTAGTTATTCATTTACAAATATGACTATGAATTATTGGCTTTCTGTTCTAGTCAATGCATTTTAATCCAATACTCACATTCTTTACATGGATGTTTTGATTATCCTAGATTTTTTCCAAAAGTTTCTTCTGGCTGGCTCCTGTGTCATTCTGACTTGTCTCCACCATTCATTTTTGAGAGCTTTTGCACTTTCTGGCAACAATAAGATGCTCCAGCATCCTCTAGGGCTCCCCTGTCTCAACCTGGAATAAAGAATTTCTGTATCCTACAACTTACTGAATTTATTATTTCTTATCATTTTTTTGCAAATTCTTTGGGGCTTTATGTATATAAAATCATGTCATGTGCAAATAGTGACAGTTTTACTTCTTCTTTTCCAGTTTTGATCCCTTTTATTTCTTTTTCTTGTCTAATTGCTCTGGATAGGACATCTAATACCAGGTTAAATAAAAGAAGCAAAAGTAGGCATCCTTGTCTGCTTCCTATTCTTAGAGGGGTAGCTTTCAGTTTTTCATCATTGAGTGTGATATTAGGTGTGGGTTTGTTATATTTGGCCTTTATTGTGCTGAGGTCTTTTCCTTCTATACCCATTTTATTGAGAGTTTTTAATATAAATGGATGCTGTGTCTTGTCACATATGGAGATGATCATGTTGCATATTGAGAGGATCATGTGATATTTATTCTTGATTTTGTTAATATGGTGTACAAAATTGATTGATTTGTGGATGTTGAACCATCCTTGCATGTCTGGAATAAATCCCATTGGATCATGGTGTGTGATCCTTTTAACGTCTTGTTGTATTCAATTTGCTAATATTTTGTGGAGGATTTTTGCACCTACATTCATCAGTGATATTGGCCTGTAATTTCCTTTTTTTGTGTTGTCCTTGCCTGATTTTGGTATCAGGGTCATTTTGGCCTTGTAAAATGACTTATGAAGTGTCCCCTCCTCTTCAATTTTTGGAAGAATGAGAAGCATAGGTATTAAATCTTTAAATGTGTGGTAGAATTCAGTGGGGAAGCTGTCTGGTCCTGTACTTTTGCTTTTTGGAAGGTTTTTGATTACTGTTTTGATCTCCTTATTAGTGATCAACTATTCAAATTCTCTATTTATTCTTGATTCAGTTTTGGAAGGTTCTATGATTCTAAGAACTTATCTATTTCTTTTAGATTATCCAATTTGGTGACATTAGCTTTTCATAGTATTCTCTTATAGTCCTGCGTATTTCTGTGGTGTTCATCATAATTTCTCCTCTTTCATTTCTGATTTTATTTATTTGGACTTTCTCTCTTTTTTTCTTGGTGAGACTAGCTAAAAGTATGTCAATTTTGCTTATTTTTTCAAAAAAACAGCTCTTAGTTTCATTGATCTTTTCTATAGTGTTTTTAGTCTCTATTTTGTTTATTTCTGCTCTGATTTTTAGTATTTCTTTTCTTCTACTGATTTGGGGCTTTGTCTGTTCTTTCTTCTAGTTCCTATAGGTGTATTCTTAGATTGTGTATTTGAGATTTTTCTTTTTTCTTGAGGTAGGCCAGTATTGCTATAAACGTCCCTCTTCGTACTGCTTTTGCTGTATGGCACAAATTTTGGTATGCTGTATTTTCATTTTCATTTGTCTCCAGGTATTTTTAAAAATTTTTCCTTTGATTTCTTCATTGGCCCAATAGTTGTTCAGTAGCATTTTATTTAATCTCCACATATTTACGATTTTTCCAGTTTTCTTCTTGTACTTGATTTCCAGTTTCATCTCATCGCCATCAGAAAAGATGCTTGGTATCATTTCAGTCTTCTTAAATTTATTGAGACTTGTTTTGTGGCCTTATATATTATCTATCCCAGAGAATATTCCATGTGCTTTCTAAAAGAATGTATATCCTACGGTTTGGGGATGAAATGTTCGGATATATCTATGAAGTGTATCTGGTCTAATGAGTCATTTAATGTCGTTGTTTCATTATCAATCTTCTGTTTGGATGATCTATTCATTGGTGTAAGTGGAGTGTTAAAGCCCCGTAGTGTTATTGTGTTACTGTCCATTTTTCCTTTTGTGTCTGTTAATAATTGCTTTATATATTTAAGTGTTCCTATGTTGGGCATATCAATATTTACAATTTTTATGTCCTCTTGTTGGATTCTTCCCTTTATCATTATGTAGTTCACTTCTTTGTCTCTTGTTATAGTTTTCATTTTAAAGTCTATTTTGTCTGACATAAGTATTGCTACCTCAGCATTCTTTTCATTTCCACTTCATAGAATATCTTTTTCCATCCCTTCGCTTTTAGTTTGTGAGTGTCTTTAGGTCTGAAGTGTGTCTTCTGTATGCAACATATATATGGGTCTTGATTTTTCATCCACTCTAGGTCTTTTGATTAGAGCATTTAGTCCATTTACATTTAAAGTAACTATTGATGAGTACATACATATTGCCATTTTGTTCCTTTTTTCTGGAAGATTTTGTGGTTTGGGTTCCTTTCTCTTCATTTTTTGTGTATTTACTGCAGGGTTTTGGCTTGTGAGTACCATAAGTTTCACATATAAAAACCTATGTAAATAGCAATCTATATTAAGTAGATGGTCTCTTAAGTTTGAGCTCTATTCCACCCCCCAACATTTTTCATTTTTTATTTCAAATTTTACCTGTTATATTTTTGTGTATCCTTTGATCTCTTAACATAGATACAGGTGGTTTTAATACTTTTGTCTTTTGACCTTCATACTAGCTTTATAGCTGGTTGATCCACTACCTTGCCTGTATATTTACTTTTACCAGTGATTTTTTTTTCTTCAGTACAGTAAAGTTACCGGGCACAAAATTAACATGCAAAAATCAGTTGCATTTATGCATGCTAACAATGAAACAGCAGAAAGAGAAATCAAGAATACAATACAATTTACAATTGCAACCAAGAAATGAATTATCTAGGAATAAATTTAACCAAAGAGATGAGAGACCTGTACACTGAAAACTATCAAACATTGGTGAAAGAAATCAAAGAAGACACAAGGAATAGAAAGCTATCCTATGCTTATGGATAGGAAGAATTAAAATAGTTAAAATGTCCACACTTTCTTAAGCAATCTACAGATTCAACACAATCCCTATCAAAGTCCCAATGACATTTTTCAACAGAAATAGAATAAATAATCCTAAAAGTTATGTGGAATAAAAAATGTCCCCAAATAGTCAAAACAATCCTAAGTATAATTTAATATTGATTTGTATAATTGCTATACCCAAAGCTATAGTAATCAAAATAGCATGATAGCAGCACAAAAATAGATACATAGATCAATGGGAAAGAATCAAGAGCCCAGAAATAAAACCACACACCTATGAACAGCTAATTTTTGACAAAGGGGTCGAGAACATTCAATAGAAAAAGAAAAATCTCTTCAATAAATGTTGTTGGGAAAACTTGACAATCACATACAAAAGAATGAAAGTTGACCATTACTTTACACCAAATACAAAAACTAATTCCAAATGGATTAAAGAGTTGACTGCAAGACCAGAATACATAAAGCTCCTAGAAGAAAACTCAGACATCAACGGTAGGACTATCTTTTTGAATACAATGTCTTCCCAGGCAAGGGAAACAAAATAAAACATAAACAAGTGGGACCACAGCAGACTAAAAACTTCTGCATGGCAAAAGAAACCATCAATAAAAACAATGTAACAATTTGGAGAAGATATTTGCAAATTGTATGTCCAATAAGGGGCTAATATCCAAAATGTACACAGAACTCATACAACGTAACACCAAAACTTCTAAATAACCCAAAAATAAGCAGAGGATATGAACAGACATTTTTCCAAAGAAAATATATGAGATGGCCAACAGAAACCTGAAAAGGTGTTAAACATCACTAATTATTAGGAAAATGCAAATAAAAACTACAATGAGATTTCACCTCAGATCCATCAGAATGACGATAATTAACAAGACAAGAAATAATATCTGTTGGAGACAATGTGGAGAAAAGGGAACCCTCACACACTGCTGGTGGGAATGCAAACTGATGCAGCCACTATGGAAAACAATATGGAGATTCTTCAAAAAAATTAAGAATAGAGGGGCTGGCCCAGTGGTATTAAATTGGCACACTCTGCTTCAGTGGCCCGGGTTTCAGGGGTTCGGATCCTGTGCGCAGACCTACACACAGCTCATGAAACCATGCTGTGGCGGCATCTCTCATACAAAATAGAGGAAGATTAGCACAGATGTTAGCTCAGGGGCAATCTTCCTCATAATAACTAACTAACTAAATAAATAAATATAAAGTAAAATTGAGAATAGAACTACCATATGATCCAGCTAGACCACTTCTGAGTATTTATCCAAAGAACACAAAAACACCAATTCAAAAAGATATATGTGCCCTTATGTTCATTGCAGCATTATTCACAATAGTCAAGACTTGGAAACAATCTAAGTGTCCATAAATGGATGAATGGATAAAGAAGAAGTGGTATATATATAAATATATGTATGTATGTATTTATATATATATATACACACACACACACACAATGGAATTCTACTGAGCCATTAAAAAGATGAAATCTCTCACTTGCAGCAACATTGATAAAACTTGACAGCATTATGCTAAACCAAATAAGTCAGGCAGAGAAAACAAAATACCATGTGATTTCAATCATATGTGGAAGACAAAAACAGCATCAACAAACACATAAACACAGAGAAGAGACTGGTGGTTACCAGAGAGAAAGGGAGGAGGGAAAAGGGTTACCAGAGAGGAAGGAGGGAGGGAAGAGAGTGAAAGAGGTAATGGGGCACATGTGTGTGTTGACAGATGGCAATCAAGACTTTAGGTGGTGAACATGATATAGTCATCAAAGAAATTGAAATATAATGTCATACACTGGAAATTTATATAATGTTATAGACCAATGTTACCTAAATAAATAAATGAATAAGAATTTATCCAATGAGCCCTAATTCCTTTTAACAGAGGATGGTGTTTAGAAACCAAGATTTGGATGATTGGTTTGCTTAGTGCTACTGGGCTGTCATTGTGTCTATGTCTTATGAGTGGTCACAGCTGAGACATACTTGTTCATACATATGCACACAGACAGACAACAAACACATATGCCTCTAACTAATTCTATGTAAATTTATATAGATAGATATAGATATAGATGGTATAGATATAGATATATAGTTCTTTTTTAACAAAGTCATACTGTCATTTCCAATGCCAATAGGACACCTCACAGTTTCTTCTAGCCAACTGCCTTTGCACGTTTATAAATCCCTTCACAGACACTGAGTAACTTGGCTTCATTCATTCCCAATATATTTACATATTTGCTCACAGCAACTAATCTCCCAACCACTTCCACATTCTCCCCAACTCCTCAGCACTGCTCTTGGCTGCAGGATGATGATGACGCCTTCACGTGGCTCCCCAGCCCCATCGCCAAGATGATCCTTCAGGCGCTGGGTACACATATGCTACCTCCACACAGGACCCCTGCCCTCAGTCACTCTTCCTGGGAATCCTAGATCTCTGTCCTATAAGATTATAGAGTGGAAGTTGCAACGAAAGAGCTTGTAGAAATCTAGAATAATTTGGATAATTTTTTAAACTGAACATTTTTTTCTGTCTTTTTGGTGCCATATTTAGGCTGGTGTCCTAAGGAGCCACTTCAAAGGTCTTTAGAGTAAGGTCTCACCTCTAGGTAGACCAGATCTCCCATCTTCTACTCACCTGACTTGCTGCATTTGTTCTGGCGCAATTGTCGGACAAGGAGGAAGAGGAGGAGAGAAAGCAGCAATACACAGGCTACTGACACCCCAATCAGAACTTTCTGGTAGCTTTCAAGACCTTGGGAAGAAATGATGTCATGGATGAACCGATGATGCCACTTATTTGAGCACTTACTGTGTCCCAGGTACATGTTGGGGTCTGCGAATTTAGCACATCTAACCCTCACAACAATCAGGCAACATGGGCATTCCAACCCCAATTCCATCCATTTACAGATGAGAAGCTGGGACTTAGAGAAATTAATCACTTACCCTAGGTCAACAGCCAGGAAGTTTCAGAGCTGAGATTTGAACCCAGGACTCTGGGTTCCCTTGTGGTCTCCTCATGCTGCCCACCCCACTGCAGACTCCAGCTTCAGTCTTTGGTGCTCCTTACCTGATTTGAACAGCCTGTCCACTTGTCCCTGTATGGCTCAGCCCTCTCCTTTAGCTAGAGCTGAATGCACCTCCTCACTGTCACTCCCATACACCAACCCATTAGGGGCTTTGGGGATCCTAACAGTGAGTGCTCAGAGCAGAGGTTTGCGTGGGATGGACGCTGTGCTCTCCCCAATCTCCAAGTCCAAACAAGATCCAACCTCTGTCCTTCATACCCCACACACACATGCAAAGCCTGCCTCAACTTTTTGGTGTGTGTATCTCAGAAGGCACAGTGAGGATGGATCTGCCATTTCCTGACACTGGAGGGTCCCATCCCTTGAGAAGTACTTTCACTTCTGTGGTCTTACCCAAGTCTCTTAGCAAACCTGTGATGGAGATGGTAGGAGATACATTTCACAGACAGTGAAACAGAAACTCAGAGAGAGAATGTGACTTGTCCACAGTCCCAGCGCCAGGAAGTGATAGGGCAGGAATTTACACCCCATAGAGCCTGACCTCCAAACCCTAATTATTTTTAATTGGTTTTAATTTGTTTTCCTTCCATAAGACAAGGCTGAGACCACAGGACTAGTAGGAAAGTGCTTGGGACATCACTAGTGTTATCGCTCTGTTCTTCCCTGCTGCCCTGACAACTCAACGTTGTCCATCCTTCAGTTCTGCAGACCTGGGACAGCATCCCTGTAGGGTCAGAACTGAGATGCCCTTTAACATATGAGCCAGGATTCCTCTATTACACCTGGAGAAACTGAGGCCCAGGTGAAAAGAAGATGTTCAAAATCACCACCTCAGGGAGCACTGAGAGCCCCACAGTGGACTTCGCCCAATTGTCATAAACCAAGGATGGGGAATTGAAGGGCAGAAGCTGCTGTGCTCCTTACTTCAGCTGGATGAGGCCCCCTTGGCTGGGCCACCAACATCTCCTTCTGCCATGACCACCCCATCCTTCATCTGTCCAGCCTCAGAGACCCTGGAGCCCTGTGCTCCCTCCAGCATCTTGCCCTGACTCCCAGCTCCCCTGGAACACAAGCCTGTTCTTGAGTATCTGAGGGGGCATTACATCCTCTGAGAGACTCTCAGAACTGCCCTGATGTGGTCTGTGCTCCCGCTGAGCAAAGGGGCCTCAGTGACTCACCAGCTGTCAGGCTTTGTTCAGTGGGTGAGGGACTGGGATCCACAGAGGTTCATGGGAAAAGGACAAGGGGAGAGTGAGAGGCTGGAGGTTCCCCAGAGACTCCATCTCTGCTCACTCCCCTCTCCTAAATCTGTCCTATCCTCTCCCGAGGCAGTCCCTCGACCCACCTGGAGAATTATGGTGATAGGAACATGGGAAGGGGCATGGGTGAGAGGGCCCTATCGTCTCCCATTTATCTGAGAGTGGACACCTCTGGAAGACCCTCCCTTGGAGCCCCTCATTCTCATTCTGGACTGGGGCTCTCACAGGCAGGGCTGTGAGCTGATCTTAGGGGCACAGAGAGGACAGGGTTGGGACTTCCTTACCTGAGACCAGGAGCTCCACAGGGTCACTGGGGTGTGACCACCACTCGGGGGAGTTCCTGTAATAGCCATAGCATCTGAAAATCCACTTGTGACTGGGGGTCATGGGCCCCACACTGAACAGGGCCTGGAAATGCCCATTGGGATGTCGCTGTGAGTCCAGAGTGCAGGAGGGCTTGTGTTCTCCTTCCTTGGTCAGAACGAACCTGCCAAATCCCAGCCGTGAGACACACTGGAGGGTGACGTTCCCTCCTGAGGTCACCACAGGGCTCTGCAGGGCTGAGAGGGTGGGATTTTCATAGACTCCTAGGAGAGGAGCAGGAAGTGTGTTAAATGGGGCTCACAACTCCTGCATATACCTCAGGGCTGGGCAGTCAGAGGGGACACACCCCTGAGAGCGGACTCCCTTCCTGAGGACAGAGCCTGAGGCTGGGACCCCTGAGTGTCCTCTCACCTGTCACCACCAGCTCCAGGGGGTCACTGCGCTCTGACCAGCCAGTGGGGCTGAGATAGTAACACTGATATCTCCCTGCATATGTCTCTGTCATGTGTAAAATGGAGAACTTGGCCTTGTCCCCTGATAGCAGTGGGCTCTGTTTGCCCCAGAACTCTGGGCTTCCTGCTTTTTCCAGACGGTACTCCTGGGCCCCCGGGATCCCCTGACACCAGACGGACATGGGCGTGCCCCGGGGGATCACAGAACCTGGCTCAGCCCAGATGGTGGGTTTGGGGAGGGTCCCTGGAAGGAAATCAGAGACTGAGTCACAAGACATTCCTCACTCCCAGTTCCCCAGCTCTCAGCCCCAGGACCCTCCAGACGTCCTCCATCCCTTAACCCACAACTGCTGTTCTTCATCCCCGGCTGCCTGGGGTGGTCCCTTGTCCCCAATGAGGAGGTGGGGCCCAGCCTAGGATATGTGGGAACAAACTCACCTGCCTCCTCTGGGGTTCCCAGGCCCACACGCAGTCCTGGAAGAGAGTTCCCTGTGAGTGATTTGCCCCTGAAGCTGAGCAGAACCCTCCTCCCCATGAGCCTCTTGAGTCCTTTGGCCTCCTGACAGACCAACGCCTGGCTAGGGGCAGGGTCCCACCCAGACTAGGGCTTCCTCTACCCCTCCTCAAATCTCACCGAGGTAGAGTAGAGCCGTGAGGGTGGGGGTCATGTCATGCACTCCCTCTGGCCCTGGCTATGCTGGTGGAGGAGACAACTGTGTCCAGCAAGACAGACGGATGCACAGGCTGTGGCAACTCAGAGGCTGGTCGTTCTTGTCACAAAACCGTTACATCAGCAGCCCCACAGGAAGGGGAACTGCCTCTTCTCAAGAGCCTGACTCTTGTTTACAGATCAGAGCAGCAAATCGTACCAGAAATGCCCCTTCCAGGTGAGGGAGAGCCAGGGCACATACTTCCCTCTCTGAGCCTCCCTTTGAGTGTCCTTCATCCTCAGCCCATCCATCAGCACATCCTTGTGGGGTCCTCACCAGGGAGAGTAGTCATCCAGGCCCTGGAGATGATTCAGGGAAGATGCAGGTTCCCGATGCACGGCAAAGCTCAGATCAGCAGAGACACACACTCAACATCTAACTGTACAGTTAGGTCGAGGTCATTGGGACAATGAGCGCAAAGGAGAAATACAGCAAAATAAGGGAAGGAAACATTCCTCCTCTCCTGGCCTCAGAGTGTGGGTTTACTTTCTATCACAGCCTCCGCCCTCCAGCCCCACGGATCCACGGATTTTCCTTTTTCTTGCAACAGCATCCACCCCCATCTCTCTTAGAACAAATCTCTGAGTCATCCCTGACTCCTCAGTACCCCTCGTTCCCTAGAGCAGAGCTCTGCTCCTCATCCTGGGGTCCGGCTTATAAGCTTCAGGGGACATTTTTTGGATTAGAGCTCCAATTTCAAAAAGAAAGATGACTTTTTAAAAATATTCATCCATCATCTACTGACTGTGTGACCTTGGCAATAGCACACTCTCTATTTCCTTGCCTGCTTCCCTGTTTAAATCATGTTTTCACAAACCGCACTCCTCAGAGCAGCTGTGGGTGTCAGTAGTTCCTAGTTCATGAGAGGGAATCAGTCACTGGTAATTTTCAGAACAGGTTAAGACACGATGGATTTGGGATATGAGAGGATCATGATGGCGGACTCCACAGTCAAGGTGGATGTTTGTTGATGCGTTCAAGATCAAGAGACCTAGTCTGCTCTGAATACGAATAAAGGTGACTTGTCATAATTCCGAAATATGTAGAAATAGTCATATACAGGAAAAGAGAAGTGAAATTTTCTAAAATATATAGGAAGCCACAAGACAGAACAGAGAACAAAGCTGAGTAGCTGCCTGAGCCCAGGACCATCAAGGGGTCATAGAGTGAAGGTTTCCAGCAGTGTGGACAGGAGAGGCACCCCAGCATCCTCACAGGAAGGGAGGGGTCAGGGCTCCAGTGAAGGCTGGATGCTGTGGTGCCTTCCTCCTTGCAGTGGTGAACAAGCACAGGAATATGTCTGCTCACTGACTAGGCCCATGGTCTGCCCTGAGTCACTTCCTCTATGTGAGTGTGAAACAGATTCCCTGCAGTGTTTTCTAACATGAGCGTGTGTCCCACATGTGAGCATGAGGCCACCATGGGGCCATCCCTGCCTCACACAACCATGAGCAGATGTTAAATTTGAGAAAGTGGACATCATGGGGCAGGAACAGCTGCAACAGTCCATCCTCGTCAGCCTGACATCCAGGACTTCCCTGGGGATCATCCTTGAAGGAAGATCAGGTGTGTGAGGGGAGAGTGTCCAACAAGAATGGACATCAAAGCGTAATTCTAATAATGATAAGCAGTGTTATGAACAAAAGTCTTAAGGTAATGGGGATTACCATATCCAAGGAAGTAGAGTCAATAGGAAAATATGAGAATAATTTAAAATTCAGCATGTTTAAATATCTGGAGAAATAATGGGGGATATTGAACATTTGAGGCTAGAATATGCACTTGCCACAGAAGAATAGGCAATTATTGAAGTGAATATGAAATTTTAGAGATGAGAAATCCAATAGAATTAACACATTCAAGAAAATCGTTCCATCAATGACAAGACACAGCTGAGGAGCCATTTATGAAAGTGGAATACAATATTGAGGAAATTTGCCAGAATGCAGTGTAGAGATCCCAGAAATGAAAATTCAAGATAATTGGAGAGTGGAATAACGAGGGCCTATGTCACATCTACTGTAAGTGTCAGAAGGAAAGAAATTAGAATGATGTCTAGCAACAACTCAAGAGATAAAGAATTGAACATTTTCCAGAGATGAAGAAAGATCAACCAAGAGATAGGTTGCATATATTTTAAAATGATATCTGTATCTTGACCTTTCATGGTAAATTAAGAAAATGAACATGCATTTGAGAGGATAAGAAGAACTTTTCCAATGCCACCCTCTCCCTAGGTGGCACAGTGTAAGCTGAACTAGCCAACATCAAAAGGGAGAGAGGTGAGTGAGCGCCTGGCTTCCCCAGCTGTGTGGGACTCTGCTGGAGTAACCTATTCCTCTCAAGCAGAACCCAGAGTATTTTGGTTTCTGCTTCCGTGGAACAGCTTTCTCCATCCCTTTACTTTGAGCCCATGTGTATCATTAAGGCTGAAGTGAGTGTCTTGTGGGCAGCATATAGGTGAGTCTTGGTTTTTTTTATCCAACCAGCCACCCTGTGCCTTTTGATTGTTGAGTTCAACCCATTTACATTTAGAGTGATTATTGATATGTAGGAACTTACTAATGGCATCTTGTTAGTTGGCTCCTGATAGTTTTGATTTTCTATTTTTCCCCCTCTGTTCCTGCCTACCTTTTAAATTGGTGATTTTCCCTTGGCGTGTGCTCTGTTTCCTCATTATAAAATCTTTTGGGAATCTATTCTTGATGTTTGCTTTGTTGTTACTATAAGGCTTACATAAAATATCTCATAGATTTTTGGAATATCTATTTTAAGCTGATAACGACATGTCTTCAATTGCCTAAGAAGGCTTCACTCTTTTGCTCCCCCTTTTATATTTTTTGATGTCACAATTTATCTCCTTTTATGCTGTATATTTGTTAACAAATTATAGTAGCTGTAGTTCTTTTTAACACTTCTTTCCTTTAATTTTCATAGTATAGCTCGGTGGTTAAAACACCAACCACTATTGAATTGGTGTTTTCAAAATTGGACTGTATATTTTTCACCTTTACCAATGTGTTGATACTTTTGTGTGTTTTCATGTCTCTAATTAGTGTCTTTTAATTTCAGATTGAAGGACTTCTTTCAGCACTTCTCGTAGGGCAGGTTTAGTGGTGACAAACTCCTTCAGCTTTTGTTTGTGTGGAAAAGTCTTTACTTCCGCTCTACATGTGAAGGACAACTTTGCCAGATAGAGTATTTTTGGCTAGCAATTTTTTTCTTTCAACACTTTGAATATGTCATTCCACTCTCTCTTGGCCTACATGGTTTCTGCTGAATAATCCACTGACAGCCTGCCGGGGGTTTCCTTGTAGGTCACAGTCTTTTTCCCTAGCTGCCTGTCAGATTTTCAATTTATCTTTGTTTTGTGACAATTTCATTATAATGTGTCGTAGAAAAGGTGTCTTTGCACTGAGATAATTGGATGATCTATTAGCTTCATGAACCTGGATGTCCAAGTCTCTCCCAAAGTTTGGGAAATTCTCAGCTATTATTTCTTTAAATAAATTTTCTACTCCTCTATCTCCTTTCTTCCAGAAACAAGATTATTCTAATATTTTCCCTTTTGATGAATTCCCATAGATCACACAGGCTTTCTTTTCTCTTTTTATTCTCTTTTCTTTGTTCTCTTGTAACTCTGTTGTTTCAAAATTCCTATGCTCTAACTCACTTACTTTGTTTGCCATCTGCTGTTGTCTACAGCAGATGCTCTGAATTGCATTCTTCAGCTCACCTAATAAATCCTTCAGCTTCGGAGTCTCTGTTTGGTTCTTTTTATGATTTCTATCTCTTTGGTAAAGAACTTATTTGTTCCTGTATTTTTTTCCCTGATACCATCGAACCGTCTTTGCGAGTTTTCTTGTATCTCACTGAGTTTCGTCAAGCGGCTATTTTGGATTCTTTATCAGCTGTCACAAAATTCAATGCCTTTGAGCTTGGTTGTTAGACAATTATTGACATCCTTTGGTGATGATATACTTCCTTGATGTTTTTACTTTCCTTACAGGTTTCTGCTGTCGTTTTTGTGTTTGAAGTAGCAGACACCTCCTTCAATCTTTTCTGGTTGCCTTTAGATGGAGTACTGTTTCTTGGTGCTCCAATATCTGGGCTTTCTTCCAATTTTGTGTGGGTACACCTGCTCCACTCTTCTTGCTCTCTCTCATGAGAGAATTCTTGAGCTTTTATGTCTTCTCTTATTCTTACAACTCACCAGGCTGGCTGCTGGACACCTCTCTTTCTTTCCCAGAAGGTGACACTATAGCTCCAGTTTGTAGTTTCTCCCTTGCCCACAGATCCTGGTCTCCTTTTCCGGGAGCCCTTCCTTTACCAGACCTGTTCTCATTGCTGTCCTGCGAGGTGCACAAATATCTGCCTCCAGTGTTGGGGAGGCGTGGGTTTAGCACTCTGGGCATCAGGGATGCCTGCAAACCTGGCGAGGAGATCCTTGGGTGGCTTGTGGGCAGACTTCCTGCTGAAGTCCTGACAGTCAGCAGGACCTCATCCCTTTAGTGCCCTTTGATATTCTTATCTGGTACTTTCCCATTCTTCTCCACGCCTTCAGTCAGGGAAGTCCCGCCTCGGTGCTCTAGGTACTGCTGGAAAAAAACAAGCTGCCCCTGCCAAATCATGCACAACTTGGGTAGCTGGACACTCACTTACAGGTTTCTGCCTCCTCCCCGGGAGAAGCTGCCACCACCAGACAGCTTAGCCCTGTGCCGTGTCACCCTGGGTGGGAGCTCTGCTGGAGTTCCTCCCTCTCCACCACCTCCAAACTCATATTCTTCCCTCTGTGATGACAAGCTGGGATGTCTCCTCAGGCAGACTGAACTTCTAAATTCTCTCTCAGCTGTGAGTGCACATGATAGTTCTTATATTTACAAAGCTCTCAAGATGCAATAAAAAAAACTGTTGGAATTAATCAGCAAATTCAATAAAGTGGCTGAATATAAAATCAACACACAGGAACCAGTTGCATTTCTATACACTAATAATTAAACATGTGAAAAATAAAACTATCCCATTCACAATAGCATCAAACAATAAAACATCTAAGAATAAACTTCATCAAGGGAGTTAAAGATCTGACAATGAAAACAACAAGACTTTGTTGAAAGAAATTGAAGAAGATGCAAACAAATGGAAAGATACCCTGTGTTCATGGATTGGGAAAATTAATATTACTAAAGTGGCCATATTACCCAATGCTGTTAAAGAATCAATGCAATCCCTACCAAAATTCCAGTGGCATTCTTCACAGAAACAGAAAAAAACAATCCTAAAATTTGTATGGAACTACAAAAGACCTTGAATAACGAAAACGGTGCTAAGAAAGAAGAGCATAACAAGAGGCATCACGCTTCCTGATTTCAAACTACACTACAAAGCTATGGTAATCAAAACAGTGTGGTGCTGGCACAAAAATAGACATATATGCAACAGAATAGAAAGCCCAAAATTAAACCCCACATGTACAGTCAACTAATATTTAAGAAGAGAGCCAGAAAACCCAATAGGGCAAGGACAGTCTCTTCAACAAATGGTGTTGAGAAATCTGGATAACCACATTTAGAACATATTTGGATCCTTATTATATACCACTCACAAAAATTAACTCAGAATGGATCAAAGACTTAAACATAAAACCTGATACCATAAAACTCCCAGAAGGAAACATAGGGAAGCAGGTCTTGGCAATTATTTTTTTCAGTGTGACACCAAAGCTCACATCCACAACAGGCACTACATCAAACTTAAGAGCTTCTGCATGGCAAAAGAATCAATCAGTGAAAGAAAAGGAAACCTACAGAATGGGAGAAAAGTGTTTCAAAGAATATGTCACTTAAGGGATTAATATAAAAAATACATAAAGAGTTCATACAACTCAATAACAAAAAGCAAGCAATCTGATTTAAAAGTGGGCAGAGGAACTAAATAAACATTTTCCAAAGAAGAAAGCCAAATGGCCAACAGCTATATGAAGAGGTGTTCAACATCACTAATCATCAGGGAAATGTAAATCAAAACCACAATGAAGTATCGTGTATGAACTCTTTTGTTGATTGCAACATTATTCATAATAGTCAAGGTACAGAATCAACCTAAGTGCTCAACAATGGATACAGAAGACGTGGGACACATATGCCAGAGAATATTATTCAACCATGAGAAAGGAGGATATCCTGCCATTTGCAACAACGTGGATGAATTTCGAGGGTATTATGCTAAGTGAGGAAATCAGAGAAGGACAAGTTCTGTATGACATCACTTACATGTGGAATCTAAAAAAGCTGAACTCATGGAAACAGAGAATAAAAGGGTGGTTATCAGGGACTGGGGGATGGGAGGTTAGGACCGATGTTGTCTCAGAACAAACTCGCAAGGAGTTGTACATAAACTCTGCAGCTCTAATGCACAGTATAGTGAATATAGACAACAACATTGTACTCTAATCATGAAACGCGCTAGGAGACTACGACTTTATTCCAAATACTAAAAAGAAAGGATAATTGTGTTAAGTGATAGAGGTGCTAATTATCATTACAAAGGCAATCATATGGCAATGTATAAATGTAGCAAATTACCATGGTGCACACCTTAAATTTATACGTCAAATATATTTAAATGGAAAAAAAAAAAACGAAGAAAGGAAATTATTTTGGGGCATCTGAGGGACAAGCAGCCATAAACAAAACATAGAGGATGTATGTGAGCTGCTGTGCCTTGACTTCCAGAATATATATTTTGGTGGACTGGATGACAGCCCCACAAAGATCCCACATCCTAACGTCCAGAACCTGTGAATAATTTACTAACCTGGTAAAAGAGACTTGTCAGATGTGACTGAATTAAGGACCTTGAGATGGAGAGATGACCTTGGATTCTCCAGGTGAGCCCTAATGTAATCACCAGGGTCCTTGAAAGTGGAAGAGGGAGGCAGGAGGGGATGGATAGAGAAGAGCTGCAGTGATGGAAACGGGGTCAGTGAGATGCGGCATGAGGACTTGCCCCCATTACCAGCTTTGAAGATGGAGGAAGGGCCGTGAGCTGAGGAATGTGGACGAACTGTAGATGCTGGAAAAGGCAAGAGGATGGATTCACCCCTGGAGCGTCCAGGAAAGAACACAACCCTGCAGACACCTGGGATTTAGCCCAATGGGACCCGTGTCAGACTTCTAAGTTACAGACTGTAGGATCATGAATGTGTTGTTTTCAACACTGTTTGTGGTAATTTGTTGCAAGAGCAACAGAAAACTAGAAAGATGGAAAGCAAGATGCAGAACAATATATAGAATGTGTTACTTATTTCTAAAGAAGTAGCTAAATAAGATCACGTATATGTTTACGTATTTTTCACATTTTTTTCATTCTGAAAACCAGAAACTAACAAAAATAGTTACTTCCAACATGTGGAGGCATGGGGTGAAGGGAATAAGAAGAAGTGCATCATCTCTAAAGGTACCATTTTATGTAGTTTTAACTTTTGAAACCTGTAACTATTCTACTTATTCCAAAACACATAATTAAATTACAAAAGATGGAAAAAGCACACCCTAACATGAATATAAAGGAATAAAAACAAAGATAAGCTTATATCCAGTTCACAACAGAGTCACAGGGTAAAGAAAAAAATTCACTATGTTAATTTATTAGGAGTTGGGCTTTTAAATATAAGTGATACAAGTATAACATAAAAGGGTAACAAACTCTGTGGCGTTACACTAGGGTTGGAAATAGCTGTGTGAATTTACACTTTGCATCCTCCCTGAATATTAAGCGGTCCATAAAGAACAAAATCCCAGTAGCCTTCAGTTCACATAAACACCAGATCTTGTTTTCTAGCATTGTTCCCCACCGAAAGGAACTCAAGAACTCTTGGAGAGAAGTTGGATTCCTGGTCCAGTGCAGGAGGAACACAAGAAGAGCCTGGGAACCCATTTTAATCCAGAGAGCAAGACAGAGCTCAAATCATCAGTGGATTCATCTCAAAAAGCACAGCAGGAAGCTGGAAGAACCTTCGATGGCCAAGTTTGGGAAGCTGGGTGCCAAAAACTACAACGACGCTCCCTACTCTGAGTAGGATGCAGGCGGTCCTTGCAGGCAGCCATCGTGCTGAAAGATCCCCTGTCACTCGCTGAGAGAGAGCGACACAGAGTCGGATGAGCAGAGAGGAAGGGTTGGGCACAGGTCCTGAGAGAAGAAGCCCTGAGTCAAAGCAAAGTGACCCTCCCTCTTTCACTTGTTTGTGCTGAGAAAAGGGAAGGGGACATGGGAGAACCAATTGCTCCGCCCTGCCTCACACGGAAGATGCAGCGAGAGTGGGGAAACTCGTTCTTTATCCTGCATCCCAGCCACAAGGGCTCCAATCCCTGGGTACATCCTGCCCTCTGTGGCAGTGCCTCAAAGACGAAGCCCCTTCCTCCTGACCCTGGGGCTGAATGTGTGCCAGGCTGGGCTTCGAGACGCTGGTGGTCAGAGGTTTGGGATGAAATGTGAGGGGGTGAGGTCAAGGACCTTATAAGCAAAGGTCTGCACCAGAATCAGTTTCCAGAAGTTTTGGGGCCTCTTGAGACCAACAGTGTTCGACGCCAGGTGTATGAAATTCCTCATTCTGTTGTAATAAATTAGCACAAACATGGAGGCTCACAACAACACGGATTTACTATCTTACAGTTCTGGAGGTCGGAAATCTGAAATGGGTCTCACTGAGCTAAAGTCAAGATGTCTGCAGGGCTGCATTGCTTCCTGGAGGCCCAAGGGGAGAATCTGTTCCTGGGCCTTCTCCAGCTTCTAGAGGCGCCTGCATCCTTGACGTGTGGCCCCTTCCTCATCTTCAAACCCAGCACTGGCCAGCTGAGTCCTTCTCATGTTGCATCACTCTAACACTGGTTATTCTGCTTCCTTCTTCCATATTTAAGGAGCCTCGTGATTATGTTGGTTATTGTGAATCATGCTGCTGTGGACATGAGTGTACAGATATCTGCTTAAGGCCCTGCTTTCATTTCTTTGCCTGCATACCCAGAAGTGGAATTGCCAGACCACGTGGTGATTCTATTTAATTTTTGAGGAAGTGTCACACCATTTTCCACAGTGGTTGCAGCATTTTGCATTTCCACCAACAGTGCACAACGGTTCTGATCTTTGCAACACTGGTTACTTTCCTCTTTTTTTTGCAATTGTAGGCACCCTGACAAGCATGTGGTGACATCTCACTGCAGTTTTGACTGACATTCCTTCACTGGACTTTTGATCCAAGACAATGGGGAAAGCAGGAGAAAACAGATCACGGAGGGCAGAAACCACTCCAGGAAGAAGAGAAATGGGATGTGTGGAGGCCCAGGGCAGGTGCAGTGAGGGGCCTCCCTGGGAAAGGCAGGTGACTGGTGTCACTGAGAGCCAGGGACTTGGGGGACAAGTTTTCAGTTCCCAGGGGACAGCTGGCAATGTGGGGCTCCAGGAGAAGGAGGGCATGGGAAAGTCCAACAGGAAGGAGTCTGCCCAGATGTGGAAGGGAAGCCCTAGATTCTGACATCACCAAAGGGTGAGGAGGGAAAACAGGAAATGAGCTTCATGGAGCCTCTGAAACAGGCAAAGGAGGAGGAAAAGGAAAAGGGAGGGAGCGGCTGGAGGGAACCGGGATCTATCTTAGGACTGGAGGGAAAGGAGACCCAGGAAGGAATGGGGCAGAGGTTATGATTATGAGTGTGGGACTTGGAGGCAAATCCTCAAAGACTGGGGACTCATAAACCCAGGAGAGCCCAGGACACATCAACGCTGTGCCCCATGCACTTTCAAGAATGGGGTTTGGGTCCCACAGGGCAGCCTCCCCCTGGTGCATTGCAGAGTTCACAGCCCATGACAGGCATTGGGTCTCCTTCAGCTCTGGTGTCAGTCTCAGAGCCCTAGGGGATGTACCTCATGGGGCCCTGGGGTCTAATCTGTCTGGTGGGCCCCATGTGGTCCATGTTGGGACCTGTGCTGACTGTGCCAAGCTTCTGCCAGAATCACCACCAGGATCAGCAAGACCACACCAGCCAGGCCCATGCGGACACAGTTCACCACAGTGTAATTCCAGGAGGTGGGCACTGGAAGCAGAAGGACATGGGGTCACTGACAGGTGGACAAGACCCAGCCCAGCCCAGGACCACTGGGACAGGAGCTCCTTCCACACTTGGCACCAGGACCCGTCCCCACCCAACACTTCCCCTGGGCACATTCCCAGGTGACCTACCTGTCTGGGAGCCCGCTTCTGTGGGCAGGGGGAAGATTTCATCAGGGCCTCCTAGGAGTCAGAAAGGGCTGTGAATGTCTGGGGCAGCCTCTCCCCCTTCTCAGGCTGACCTGGCATCCTGAGCCCTCCCGAGACCCTCCCTTCATTGGGATTATCCAGGCCCCTGCCTCCCCTGGTCCCTTCCGCCTCTCCTCCACCCCAGGATCCCTGGGTCCACACCCCCCAGGTCCCACAAACAGTCAACAAGAGGACCTGAGAACTCGGCACAGCTGATAAGTTCAGACCTGCCTTTGACCCAACCTGACTCAGAGATGTAGGGACATCTCCCCACTCCTGGTTCTCATGCCCCAAAAGGGAACAGGGTTTCTGCTGTAGGAGGATGCAAGGAGATTTCACTTCCAGTGAGCGTCCACTCTACTGGTGCAAGAAGTAGGATCCCTGCCCCCTCAGTGCTGGTGCCAGAGGCTGGGACCACCGGCTTGACCACTGCCCTCACATGCTCCCAGCCCTGAGCTGGCTGTCCTGGCTCTGGGTGAGGGGCTGTGACTTGCAGGGCCCCTGAGCTCCAGACAGGAGAGTGGAGCTGCCTCTGCTCTGCCCACCTCACCCCAGTGCCTTGCCCCCTTGTTCACTCATGCTCTCCCATTCCCTCCACTCACAGCTTCAGAGACCAGCATCTGAGCATCTCGGGAGACAATATGGGAATGGGATGAAGTCAGCATGGCCCCTGTGTCTCCATCCCTAAGAGGAAGGATGATTCTGCTCACCCTTCCCTCGGCCACCCTCCTCCACCCAATATTTGAGGTTCCTTGGGGCCCAGATGATGGAGTGAAACAGACTCTGGGAGCTTACACGTTGGGATGGAGGTCTGTGCTGGGATCCCCAGTTCTAGTGGATCCCTGGGAGCCGACCTCCCATGAGGGTGGTGATTGTATGAACTCCAGGATCTGGAGGTCCTGCTAAGACCTCAGTGGGCAGGCACATGGAGAAGTACCTCCCTCTGTGGTCAGAGCTGTGAGCCTCACAGACACTGATAAAGCCAAGAGAGGACTAGGACCACTACCTAAATGGGGACAGAGAGGGGGAGGATGGGGAGGGTCCAGAGAGGCCTCATGCTGGGCTGTCCTCCTCCTGGAAGTTTCCACGCAAATAGCACAGGGAGAGGATGAGATAGGACTCCACTCACACAGATGGACAAACTGAGGTCCAGACAGTGGGGCCACTAAACTCCTGACACACTGACAGGAAGACAGAGAGGGTGGGGACTCAGGCCAGTTGCTGTCAGGACCACTTCCCCACGCTGAGGCAACATCCCCTTAAAGGATGAATGATACATGATCTGCATCTGCACAAGGATTCATGCAAAATATATTTATACCATTGTGGTCTTTATAGAGATTTCATATTTTAAAACCTTACCTGCATATCCATATCAATACGTAGATATGGGCTCACGCACACACACACACACACACACACACACACACACACACACTTCTCCCTGATGCTGTCTCTTTCTCTGTCACCCTCTTTGGGTCTCACCCCATAAGACCCTTTTCTTGAGGGGTCCACACTTCCTGTCCGGCCCAGGACAGATGTGATGCTCTGAGCTGGGAGGACACGGTGGGGCCCCAGTGCTCAGAGAATGTCATCCCCACCCCGCTAAAACCTAGTCTCACCTGAAAGCAGGACAGGGCTAAGGGACCGCCCACAGCCCACTCCCCTGCAGAGGCCCTAGGAGTGGACGCCCCAGGGGACGTCTGTGAGTCCTCAGGCGAGGAGGGAGCTGAGGGGGAAGCTGAGGTCTCCAGTGCTCCTGTGAACAGGCAGGAGGAGGGCTGAGCCTGACCTCCTCAGTCTGTCCACTCAGCCTGGCTCCTCACCTCCTGCAGTGTCCACCCACCTGACTTCGTTCTCTCCACCTGTCATGTATAGATGACCCTCTACGCTCCCCTAGAAGGGGGACAGGGATGGCACCCTGTTTGCTTCCACTTATCTGAGGGGCTGGACACCCCCTCTATGTTAGCACAAAGCTAGTGGCTCCTGGTCAATGGACAAACAAAGTGGGTGGAAGCTATCGCACCAGGCCAAAGGGGTCAGGGTCCTGGAGGCTGACCCCTCTTAGCAAGGACACTGTGCGACCGAGAGTTCCCTCAGGTCAGTGGGGGGGTCACAGGATTAGGATAAATTAGGTGGATACCCCGAGGATGTTGGGGGCTACCCCTGGACACTGTGCATCTGAGCCATGAGATGTCTGAGTCACAGAGGAATAAAGAGAAAAGGGAGAGAAGACGCTCAGTTGTAAAGGGAGAAAAGGACTTGGGGGGTCAACAGGAGGGCAGGAGAGTCTGGGGACAGAGGACACACCTGGGGACAGGGTCCAGGGACATGGGGACAAACCTGACGGCAGAGCTGAGACGTCCTCACCTGTCACCACCAGCTCCAGGAACTCACTGTGCTCAGACCAGCTGGAATTTTTATGATACCGGCAGTAATAATGCCTGGCAGTGTCGTCACTCACTCTGGTGATGGGGAATCTGGCCTCTGTCTCATGTGGAGGACGTTGGGGCAGGATCTTCTGATCGGTGTAGTTAGAGCCATCCTCCCATGCCAGGCGGAATGTCTCAGCCTCAGCAGGGCCCCGGCACACAATGGTCACAGGCTGCCCCCAGAGGATCACAGCGCCTGGCTCAGCAGAGATAGAGGGTCTGGGTAAGGCCCCTGTATGCATGAGAGATGAGAGCAGAATCTCAGGGTCCATTATGAGGAAATAGACTGTCCCTCCTTGTGAGGGACAGGAGGGAAATAATGCAGAGACTGCTGTTGCCTCAGCAACACCTGCACTCCACATCCTCATGAATCAGAGCATCACTTGTCGCTGGGCACAGGGCCTTACAGAACAACAAATGACACTTGGTAACCCCAAGATCCAAGCTGTGCAGCTGTGATACCATGTCTGTGCCAAGGAGGTGGAAGGAAAGTTTTTGGTGAGATTCTCAGGAAGGCAGCTTAAAGGGTAGCAACTAAGCTTGGGGGTCCCTTATCTTATTTCTGCCTTTCCTTGACAACCAGTCTGCAAACATATGTGGTGGCTGGAGCTCTAGCATGCATCTTGCATCAAGAGGTGACCTTAGTGCTGGTGGTCATGAATTAAAATTGTGGAGCAGACATATAGAGCCTGTATCCATGGAGACATGATGGGGCTGGCACATGACCTCTGGCCAAACTCCGCAGAGGCTGCATTTCTGTGAGAGAGAAATGAACTGCCGAGATGCGCTTTATTGTACAGAGCAGTTGGAAGACAACATGCAGTGATGAGAAAGGCTTGATCCCAGACAGACTTATGAAAAACGCCCTCTAGTATAAGGAGAGCACATAACAAGGAGGCCCCACCTCATCTAGAGGGTCGGGGGACTTCTCCTGGGGAGAGATGTCTGTGCTGAGATCTGGGAGACAAGTAGGAAATACCTCAGCTGAGCAGAGAAGGGGAGGCCGGGCTGTTGGAGGGGGAGAACTCAGCCTGTGAGAAGGTCCTGAGTGGAAGGTGACTGTGGCTGTTTGAGAAACTGAAAGAAAACATGTGCCTGATGATAAGAGAGCGAGAGCAGGGCGGGATGTGTCTAGAGACACATGGGATCAGAGGAAATGCTTGATAAGGGATCTGATGTGACCTGAATTCAACTATTGAAGGGCTGAAGCTGGGAGGTAACATCATCAGATTTGTGTTTTCTAAACCCACCTGCAGGGAGAGAATGGACAGGCAGAGCTCGCATGAAGAGATGTGGGCAGCGTCCCCCGGAGGCCTCAGTAGCTAGTGTGGAGGTGAGAGATGATGGAGCCCCAGACTGGGGAGACGGTGCCCAGCAGGAGATGTGGGAGACGTGAGAACATGCAGAGGTGAAATCCACAGGATTCTCCGATGGAGTCAATATGGGGGAGAGTTGGGGGCAACCAAGGATGATGATGTGTTATCTGTTCTGGACAAGACTGAGGAGGGATATTCATCTGGAGTAACTTGGGATTTGGATCCCTCCCACAACCAAGGAGACTCCCATCCAGAGCTGCCCTTGGGGTGAAGGGGGATTAGGAATAGTGTAGAAATGACTCACCCTCCTGTGTGAGGATCACCTGGCCCAGGCAGAGCACTGGAAGAAAAGCCCCAGTGAGAAAAATGTCCACCGCCTGGTTCCCTTAAACCAGGGGATCAAGGACAGTATGATGCAGAGAAAGACTTAGCCACCAGAAATCTCCAAACCATCCTTAAGCAACGTCAACTCCCAGTACAAGAGCTCCCTCGCCCTATAGCCAGTCCCAGACAAGTTCCCAGGTGACCTCCCAACCAGACACTCCCTCTGGCCTTTCTCTTGTCTGACTTGTCCCTGTCCCAATGTCTGTGACATGTAAGAGGCCCTGGTCCCTCTGTGGTCACCTTAGGCCAAGATGATGAGAGCGGGCAGGGCCTGCAGGGGTGACTCTCCTCCCCAGGGGCCCAGGAGATCCTGGATTACAGGCTAGACTGAGGCAGGGCCTGGACCCCCACCCAGAGTCTCCAACCGTCTCCCTCCCTGGAGTCCTCCCACAGCTTTCCAGACTCACCTTGGCCCAGGAGGATGGGGAGACTGGGGGACATGGCCAGCCTCTCACCGTCTGCTCTGTCCTTGTCCTGGGGCTGTGAGGGCTGGAAGTGTGCAGGACTGGCTCTCAGAGGCCACATTACAAAGTTCGTGTCTGTGGTCTCACAGGAAGGGAGGTGGTTGGTCCCAGGCATGAGTCTAGCTTCCTCTATTTGGGTCCAGAGAGGCCTTGGTTCCCAGAAGCATTTCTGGTGAGAGATCTCATAACCAGGCTGAACCCATGTCCAGAGGAGACCCACGTAGTATTAACTCATTGGGGTAGATAAATGATCGATGATAGGTGAATAGAGAGATACATATGTACATATACAGAAACTTAGATAGATAGATGTACATAGATACATAGATAGTTACATAGATGGATAAATACATAGATACATAGACAGATACATGGATACATAGGTAAATACACAGATACATAGACAGATACATGGATACATAGATACATAGATAAATAGGCAGATGCCTGTGTCATATAGGTGGGGAAATTTACTGGTTTGGCTTCTGCTCCTAACAGGCTGACTGTTCTCAAACCTCACATTTCCTCATGCAAACAGATTTCCCACATGCAAAGGGCAACCATAAAATTCTCCTGATGACTTCGTCTTAAATCATCTGGGAGGTGCACAGAGAGGAATGAGGCACATTGGACAAACACTCAGTTGGGTTTTCCTCATGCTCTCCAGGGCGAGTGGCACCCTGGGCAGGTCCGATGCTCTTGTCTCTGTGCCCCTCTGTGTCCCGCGACTCTGGGCTGCTCTCTGCACACTCCCCGCTGCCTCCCAGCTGGCTCTGGTCAAGCTTTCTCATTAGGGACACTGAAGGGGGCTGTGGGGCTGGAGAAGGAGGCAGAACAGGATGAGATTCATGCTCTCAGATATCCCAACTCTAAACTGAAAGCCCCTAAGACTAAAGATGCAAATCTACCGAGGAAACAATTATGACTGTCCAAATATCGGTGGGTGAAGCTTCTTGATTGTTGAGTTTGCAAAGAACCAGATGGGTTGAGATGGTGGCTGGATTCTTGTCTAGACCCTGATGGGCCTCCCGGGGTCCATTTATGGCCAGAACACGGGCACTGTGACCAAGGAAAGGTGGTCTCATAGCCCCATCTCTGACGACATTGAGTCTTACCATCACAACCTCCCAGAGGAGGGCTGGCCCAGTCAGGAGGAGATGGACAAGGGAATCAAGACACAGAGGAAAAGACCTGGGCCTTCTTAGGGTCACTTCAAGGGAGTGGCTGGCTGAGGCCACGGCACCAGGTGGGCTCACAGGCAGAGGTGGAGTCCTGGGGAAGGGACTTCTTCACGGTCCTGGGGTCAGCAGGTGAGGTCTGACAGAGGCAGAGGAGGGGTCTTCAGTGCTGCTGGTGGTGTCCTCCTGGACTGAGTGGAGCTCTACCTCTCCAAGAGTGCAGATCTGTGACTCTCCCCAGACCTTGCACTCAAGCCCAGCCCCTGTGGTCACTTTGTCCAAGAAGAAGAGACTCAGGCTCTCGGTGTCTGCCATCCCTCGAGCTATCATGGCCCATGAACTTTATTATTCCTGGCCTGAACCCCCACATCTGCCAAGACCTCCAAACTCCCCCAGTCCAGCTGACGCAGTGCCTCTAAGGAACGGAAGGTCCAGACCCGGGGGCTCTGCCCTGGGACAGAACCCAGGAAGTGGCCCTGAATCTAGATTCGAGGGCGATGTGGCCACAGGACAGGGCACCCCCACGTGCTCCAGGGAATCTGGGGTCTGTGGTCAGAGCCATTCTGCTCAGAAATCACTTGTCTTTCTACATGAAGACAAGCAGCCCTGCTTCCCAAAGAAACAAGAAGAAAAGGCTGGCGACACACAAACTCTCTGTGGAAACTCACCCGTGTGCAAAGACACTCAAACACAGCAAACAGGTAGTGCCATTTACTGCCTCCCAAGTAGCCCCACATGTTTGCACAATGTTGCTCCATGAAGGAAAGGTGGTGGTGAGGGGGGACAGGAGGGAACCTTATTAGACAAACCAAGCCTTCCAGAGAGGACTCGTGCTCACTGGAACGTGCCGCAGACCTACGAGTGGTTGTGTGGAAGTGTAATATGAGGAAGGAAGCTTTTCATGGATTTTTAAGTGAAAATTCTCTAAATGACTTAAAGGGGGGAAGCTCTAAATTATTTCTCATGTTTGAAAAGAAAAGATTATATGTGTTCTTGAAAAACCTGGGAGAAATAATAGCAATAGACAGCATTTGTCTAGCATCTTTCATTGATCAGGCAGTGCTATGATTTATCAAAACACCATTAAAAGTCCCACGGGGTGCACGCCACTCCTTTGGAAATGAAAACCTGGAGAATTTACATAGTAGTGCATACAAGTGAAAGTACCATCATAGGTAGGTATCATGTTTATGTGTGAGTGTGTGTGTGCATGTGTATTGTGTGGGGGATTTGTGTGAGCATGCATGTGTTTGAGTGTGTGTGCACATGTGTGCATGCTTGAGTGTGCATGCATGTGTGTATGAGTGCATGTGTGTGTGCATGTGTGTGAGTAGCAGATCATGATGCAACTCACTTCAACATAAGAAATAAAAAGATCTGATCTTACTCAGGAGCCGCCCCAACTTAATAACAGGGAACACACACACACACCATGCACAGCCCTTCCCCACCATTGTAAATACCACTTTAGCTTTAATTCCTTCTTTCAATTTCTTCTTTTTAATTCCTTCCAAGGATGGTCCAGGTGGAGGGAGCAGGTGGCTGACATGACTGTTGGGGGAATGGACGGCTCTGCATCCTCCTGCTGGCCCTGGGTTTGAGCTGACTGGGATCATGTGTTCACCAGCTGCTGAAGACCCTGCTGATGTCTGTCCCCAATGGTCATGGACTCCACCCTCTCTCTGCTCCCTTGGGGCCTGGGGACCCTTCTGACCATCTCAATGTCCACTCTGTCCCAGGGGCTCAGTAGACATGTCTGAGCATCTGCTCCTGCCCCATCTGGTCCAGGTGAGATCTCTCCTTCCACCACCATGGGCCCCACTGTGGCCCCCTGGCATTCACTCCCTGGATGGACCTTAGGGACTCGAGGGGAGTCCAAGTGCAAGGTGACTCCTCTCCCCTGCCCCACACCTGCTGGCTGTGCTTCACCACCAGGAGTGCTAAACATGGCTAATCCTCCGGTGGTGCTTGGGGGACATCCTTCCACACAGGAATGTCCCTGCATCCCATGGCCTTCTTTTTGAATGTCTTTGCACAGGGGTGAGTTTCAACAGACAACGTGTCACCAGCCTTTTCTTCCTATTTCTTTGGAAATCAAGGGTGGTTGTCTTCAGCTAGAAAGAGAAATGTATTTCTGAGGAGAGTGGTCTGATTGCAGGCTGGAGGGTCAAGAAGAAAAGACTAGTCCTGATGTCCGCCTCTCTGCTCTCCCCCTGAGCCCTGCTCCTCTTCCCACTATCCTCCGTGAGGCGAAACATTTTAACTTGTTGACTTTTCCTCCTTTAATTTCCCCTAAACCGTGTCTCTCCCCACTGTGGCCTCACTGCCTGGACCCACGGGACACCTTTTCAGTGGAGCAGACGCTGGACCTGCTCAGCCGTCCTGTGTTCTGGAGGGAGTGGAATATTCAGGAATCCGCTCTCTATGAATGCCAGCTCTCCACCCCCTCCTTGCTAAGGAGCCTGTGTACCCACCTGTCTGCCTTGGGATCAGAGTCAGACAAGCCAGATTTTAAGTGAAAACGCACCATTCTAACTGTAATGGTTATTTCGATGTGTCAACCTGACTGGGCTAAGGGATACCCAGAGAGACGGTAAAAGACTATTTCTGGGTGTGTCTGTGAGGGGGTTTCTGGAGGAGATTAGCTTTGATTCCATAGACTGAGCGAAGAGATCCACCCTCACCAGTGTGGAGGGGCATCATCCCATCCCCGGGGAGTCCCAAGAGAACAAAAAAAAGGAAGGAGGGCCGATTCCCTCTCTCTCCTCTTGAGCTGGGACATCCTTTGTCTCCTGCCCTTGGAAATCCATCGCTTCTCCTGGCTCTTGGCCCTTTAGACTGGGGCTGAATTATACCACTGGCCCTCCTGGGTCTCCAGCTTGCAGATGGCTGACTGTGGGACTTCCGGCTCCCATAACCCTATGATAAAACTCGTCTTGTATATACATAATCTTTATAACAGAACTTATAGTTCCATTTATCTGGAGAACCCTGACTAATACTCTAACAGACAAAAAATAATAAAGAGAGAAAGAATGTGTTCCACATGAAACAGAAATTCAGTACAGGGTATAAAACAAGAAAATAAACATAAAGACTGTATGGTCAGGAAGCAGATCTCTGGAGGAAATTACCCTGGAGTACAAATAGAGAATTGAAGCTCAGTACAAACTGAAATTCAGTAGGAAGGCCGGGCACACGCCCTCTGAGCCAGGACAGAAAGCTCGCAGCTGATGAGATGCATCTTGTCCGGAAATCAGAACAGGGAATGAGGAGCCCCCTCCCCGCACCCCCCGGGGGGCCTCAGTCCCCGCCACTTAGAGCTGACCGACACTGAGCAAGTTAACACTTCAGTCTCTACTTTCCTCAAGAAAAATAGAGACCAGAATAGTACGTGCTGTGGAGGGTTCGTACGAGGAGGCTTAAACGTGTTAATGCTTGCATAGAACTAAAATAGCAATTTCACCATAGTAAGAATTAGCTGAGTTTAGCCTCTTTTCTTAAAAATATTTTTAATATATAATAAAGTTTTAGTACCAGACCTCTAATAGGCATGCAAGTTACTAACCTTTGTTGAAAAAAAAGAAAGACAAACAAAAATTTATCAGAAAGAGCCCCTCGCGCCCCCTAGTGGTCCGCAGGGTAACGTTCTGTTTTAACCTGAGCGGGGACCGCAGGCTGGGGCACTCCCGGCGAGGGGGTCCAGGTGACCCCATATCCTTGGTGGCACAGCCGGTCCCGCTCTGAGGACGTGGTCATGTAGATCCCAAATGGTTCTTTGTGGAGACAGCATGGGGCAGCCCTGTTTACAAGCCCTGTAGCAGTCAGCGTCAATGCTGAATAAACAAGTGGGTGGTTGTGGACGGGACCTACATCTGTGTGAACAGACATGAAGAAATAACACAGGGGAAATGGAAAACGGAGCAGAGAATCCGTTCATGTAGCAGACCCCAGAGGCCCACCCACGTGGTCCGTGATGGCGGAGTCAGGGAGAGAGGTGTGAGAGCCCTGCGTGGACATGACACCCTGTAACTGGAACCGAAGGTGAAGAGCAGAGTTGGGAAAATGTGGGGATCTGCTTTCTGCACTGCACAAGGTCAGGAGCTCTGGGGCAACAGCCACTGAGGAAGCTGCACCCCTTACCTGAGCGAAGGCTGGCTCACGGTCAGAAGGTGCGCATTTTAGGAAGTGTATCTCTTACTCATAGTTCCCAAGAGGAGGGAGCTATCCTGGACACACAGGGGAGCACCAGAGTCACAAAGGAGGAGAGGGGGTGAGGGGAAATCGTGGGCAGGAGCCTTTACTGTGATTTCCACAGGAGGGAATGAGAAAGGCAGGACAAACACGCTGAGGACTGGCTGGATTAAATAAATTGAGGGGTTCTGGGGTGGAGGGGGTGATGCTAGTTGTTGAGTACATGGCCCTGGGGGGATTAAGGCAGGTCATAGTGGCCCAGAGTGTGAGGACCTCATAAGGGAGGTGGTTGGGGCTGTGGACTCTGGATTGGCTGGTTTGTAGTTGAAAAGTGCACCCCCAACAAGAGGATTCTTGCTCAGGAGAGGGGGGCAATGAGGGAGGCAAGAGGCCAAAGCAAGGTGACTCAGGCATGATATAGGGTTGTCTGGGACACAGTGTGTCTGCAATAGGCGTGTAGGACAGATGGAAAAGCCTCAACTTTACAGAAACCTGAAATGTGGCTAATACAAGGGTACAGCAGGCTCTGCTCCATAAGGTCATTCTGGGAACCGGACACCACCTTCAATATGTGGCGTCCAGGATCACCCAGGGCATCGGTGTCCACCAGCAGCAGGGAAGAGCAAGGAGGATCTTGCGTGGAAGGATTTATGGGACCGGTCTGGAAGAAGCTCCTGTCACTCCTGCTCACACTCCACTGGCTAGAACTTCATCCCGGGATGCACCTAACTTCAAGGGAGGCTGGAGGGATGGTCTCTCTGGGAGCCCGGGAAGGGAGGATATGGTGCCGGTGAACAGCTGCAGTCCTGTCACACAGGGGCCACCTGTCACCCTGGGCTCCAAGGGTTCACTGGGGGCTCTTTCCAATCTCCACTGCCTCCTACCTGACCGGCTGTTATGTAGAGGTTCTAAGTCTGCAGAAATGAGACTCTCAGACACCCATCATTTCACCAAGTGGTGGGAGAAGAAAACATTCCCGTAAGGAGACAGAATCATAGTGAGCCTCAGGGACAGAGGTAGCACTGAGGATAGACATCCACTCAGGTAGACAGACTAACAGCCCCCCCCAAAGGTGTCCACGTCCTAATCCCAGGAACCACCTGGTGTGTTACCTTACGTGGCTAGTCTCCTTGAAGGTGTCATTGAATGAAGGATCTTGAAGGAGGAGATGACCCTGGATATTCCAGGTGGGCTCTAGGTAATCACAGTGTCCTTATAAGAGGGAGGCAAGAGGGCAGAGACAGAGCGGGGCAGACGTGACAACAGAAACAGGAGTCCTAGTGAAAGAGGCATTTGAAAGAGCCACAAAGATGGAGAAAGAGGCCGTGAATCAAGGAATGAGGATGGGCCCTGGAAGCTGGAAATGGTAATGAAATGGCTTCTCCCCTTGATCCTCCAGAAGGAAGGCAGCCCTACTGATGCCTTGATGTTAGCCAGTGAGACTGATTTCAGACTTCTGACCTCCAGAGCTGTAAGGTGATAAATTGTGTTTGAAGCTACTAAGCATGCGGTAATTTAATACAGCAGCAATTGGAAACTAATACTTTTAATTTAGATGGAGGAGTTTTTGCAAGTTTATTGGGAAGAACAGTGTCCAATCCCAAACTTGAAGGACATTAGCTAGGCAAGGGGGTGAAGGTCAGATCAAGGATAATGACCTAGACCTGGATGGGTCCTGTTGTGCTTGGAAAATGCATGGTGTCCAGCGTGGATGAACCTCGGGTAGGGATGGGAAGTGAAAACTGCCATGCTCCTCTAAGTGGACTAAAAGGCTGAGAGACCCTCCCTGTGCAATCATGGCCTCACTCACTCCTTCGACCAGTCCACGTGTCCATATGTGTGGGCATGTGCACATGTATATGTATTTGTACAATGTGCACATGTGTGTGTGTGTGTGCACATGTGTGTGCGTGCATGCATTGACAGGCATGTGCGTGTGAGTGGGGGTGTATGCTCTGTGCCTTCAGCCAGCCATGTGTCCCCTCAGACCTCTCCCCCTTCATCCCTGAGACCCTCAGATCAGAAAACACTGATGCCTTCCTTCCTGTCTTGTGCCCCTAAGTTTTGAGCACCTGTGGAGGCAGAGGCTAGGACCAAGTCACCTGTGTACCCCAGCTGCTTGTGCTGGGCTGTCACGGTCAGGCCTGTGAAAACATTTATTGATGAACAAAATGAAGCATGATCCAGAAAACGGGGTCTTAGCTATCAGCTGCCTAAGTAGAGCCCAGGTTCAAGGTCAGTAACTGAACTCTATGAAGTCTTCAAAGTCAGCTGGGCAGACAATTAAAACAGAGTCTCTGGGGGCAGTTGGAAATTCATGACATGTCTGGAAGCAGCTGGGTGACTGTAGGACTGTAGCTGGGTCTCTGGAAACAGCCAAGGGACTGTAGCTGGGTCTCTGGAAACAGCCAAGGGACTGTAGCTGGGTCTCCAAAAGCAAGTGTTGTGTGTGCTCTCCAATGAGCTAGTTGATTGAAGGAGGTACCACACGGTTAACTACTCTCCCACATGTTGGTTAGGAATCCCCCAACTCCAGCTCTTGCCTCCAGGTGAAGAGACTGGATGACTTTCCAGAAAGAGATGATTCCATAGGGAAGCTCTCCAAATGGCCACGTCAGGCTTTTACAAGAGTGACGTCCTGTGTCTTTAGGTGCAGAGGCTAGGTGGGCCTGTGGTCAGCGTCTGGCAAGGGCTGCATATGTGCTGGTCTCGGCTGTGGGCTCTGTGGTCTGTGGGGACACGGCATGGGCTGGCCTCTGTGTGAAGGTCCTGTGGTCCAGCTGGGCATATGTCACCTCCTGGGGGCCTCCTGCAGCAGAGGTCTGAGGGAGAGAGACCCAGGGTGAGCTTGAGTGGCTTAGGTGAGGGTAGGGGGCTGTGGGAGGGGAAAACTATGGTATCAAGTCCCCAGGTGGCCCCCGATCCACCTCCTGGAATCATCCTTGCGTAGTCCCCTCCCACATAGAATCAGGGTTGGTCTGTGGGACCCATAGAATATGGCAGAAGAGGGCATATCACCTCCAAGGAGAGGCCACAAAAGACATTGTAGCTTTTCCCCTCCCCTCTCTGGGATCTCTCTTTCTGGCTGCCATGGAGAAGCCCATGTAGTGAGGAACTGAGGGGCCCTTCCCACAGTCGTGGGAGGGAGAAATCTTCAAAGTGGATCTTCCAGCCTCATTTGAGCCTTCAGATGAATGCAGCCCTGGTCGACATCTTGACAGCAACCTCATGAGAAACTGTGAGCGAGAACCACCTGGCTAATCCACTTCCACATTCTTGATCCAAGAAACTGAGATAATTTTATTAAGCTGCTAGATTTGGGGTAGTTTTATTACACGGCAATAGGTAACTCAGACAAGGACTCACCGAGGTGTGCATTTCCCTGCCCTTCTTAGGAGGACTATCGACGATGGCCAGATCTGGAGGGGAGAGGGCAAGTGGTCAGTTCTCTGGGGTGGACCTCAGGAGGCAAATTTGCCTGAAATCTCACAGCTTCAGATTTCAGCCCACATCCCATCTCGGACACCCCAGAATGTGCTCAAACATTCTCCCTCCTCCCATTGCATCCTGAATGGCTGTGAGGCCTCACTTCCCCTCTCCCAGGCCTGTCCTCTCTCCTCATCTTTACCTGGTGTCCTCCCTAGGATGTCAACAGCCGGGCTGAGCCTGCAGGAAAAGAACAAGTGAGCACAGGGGGCAGCCTGGAGGCAGAGGACTAGGAGGGGGTCCAGGGGTCATTCCCAGGGGCCTCACCTCTCCTGGGGCCTCTGCTCCTTGCCTCTGCTGCTGGGGAGCCCTGAGGACAGCCAAGGGTGTGAATTAAGAAGAGAGACCCTCTTCCCAGCACCCCAGACAGCCTGCTCAGCTCACCCCACCCTCTCCCTGAGATTTACCAAGTTTTTTCCGATGCCGACGAAAGAGGAAGAAGAGGACCAGGAGGAATAAACAAATGAGAAAGGCCCCAGCGACCACAAGGAGGATATAAACATACTGTGTCGACAGGCCTGGGGGAGCAGGGAAGATGAAAGCAGATTATCAGCAGCATGCATTTACTAAGCACCTACTACATCCCACACATATGCTGGGTGCTTGTATATTAAATCTCTCACATACATAACAGTCCTGCAACATGGAAATCGTTATCCCCATTTTACAAAACCGGGGTCCTGAGTGCTGAAGTCCTCTGTCCACAGGGCAACAGCAGAGCTGGAATATGATCATTCCTGAAGCCCATTCTCTCCCCCTTCCCAAGAGGCACACACCAGCTTCATGCTCCTCTGTCCCCACCACTCACCGCTATTGTTACTGTCACTGTCATACGAATTCGTCTCGGTGTCTCCTAGGAATGGGGAATCAGGAAGACATAGGTCAGAGGCCTGAGCTGGACAGAGAAGGCTGAGGCAGACACAGACAGTGAGAGACATTTGCCGTGTGCCACCCACACCAGCAGAGTCAAGACCCTGCGAGAAGAGGTCTCTCTTCCTCTTGGTGATCTTACGTCATTGTTCGGGCTAACCATCAATAGATCCTGTTCTCTCCCATAGTGTCTGAGTTTCTTTCTGCATATTAAAAAGAGCAGGGCCTCCTGGAAGGTGAGAGGAGCACCTCCCACATTGGGCTGTGGTTGGCGTTGACTGCTGTCACAGTACCAAGCTTGGAGATAGTTCAATCATGGTCATTATGAATATGAGTGACACCCCAGTGCCCTGCGGGTGTCAGCCCCTTGCTGTGGTCTTATGAGTTCCTAATCCAAGCCTGGGTAAAGGGCTGGGCCCTGGAGCCTGATCCCCAGCACAGAGCCCCCCAGGAAACCCCTTGAGTCTGCGGTCTCTACTCACCAGCTGAGGGCTGGGTGGTTGGGGAGCTGATGTCTCCAGGGGCTCCTGTGACAGGGGTGGGAGAAGGGCTGATGTCCCACACAGCCTGGCCCCTCTCTACCCTGAGCATCCATCACTGGACACTCATTGTCAGTCCCAGACAACGTCCCGAGATTCTGAGGAAATGTGGCAGGGGCACAGGAGATGAGGGGAAGCCCTCCATTCTCCCAGCTCTGGGGGTGCTCTGCTCCTCCCATGCCATGCCCTCCCAGACCTCACAGAATTGGCACAGAGCAGCTCCTCTGAGGCCCTGGGAGTACCTGGAGGGAGATCGAAGTGTCCCCAGTGGACCCTGAGTCCAGGACATCACGGGAACTGACCACACACAGGGACAGGGATGGCCTCATCCCAAAGATTCCCCAAAGCACCATCCATTCCAGGTCAGGGCACCCCTGGACCATGTGATTTGCCCAATGTGGGTGGACCACACCACAGGGGACACATTGCCTGGGGCCCCCACAGATTCTGTCCCAGTCGAAAGGATAGTTTAACACCATCCTGAGAGAAAAGACACACATTCTCTTGAACGGAGGCTACCCTGCACCCGACCTCTGGAAGCCCACTCCCCACCCAGCCCAGCAGGGCCAGATAGGGGCCCACCCCAATGCTGAGGCTGATGTCCAGGCCATCATGATGTCCCGATGGGACCAGGGCTCCAGGGACCTGAGCTAGCCAGGTGTGAAGGCAGAGGGATGTGTGCGTAAAGGGAGAGAGGGGGCTGGAGGACTTGGGGGTCAACAGGTGGGCAGGGGAGTCTGGGGACAGAGGACACACCTGGGGACAGGGTCCAGGGACATGGGGACAAACCTGACGGCAGAGCTGAGACGTCCTCACCTGTCACCACCAGCTCCAGGAAGTCACTGTGCTCAGACCAGCTGGAATTGTTATGATAGCGGCAGAAATAACGCCTGGCAGTGTTGTCACTCACTCTGGTGATGGGGAATCTGGCCTCTGTCTCATGTGGAGGACGTTGGGGCAGGATCTTCTGATCGGTGTAGTTAGAGCCATCCTCCCATGCCAGGCGGAATGTCTCAACCTCAGCAGGGCCCCGGCACACGATGGTCACAGGCTGCCCCCAGGGGATCATAGAGCCTGGCTCAGCAGAGATGGAGGGTCTGGGCAGGGCCACTGAAGGGAAGCAGAGCAAGATCTCATGGTCCACTTGTGAGGAAATCACCGTGCCACACAATTCACCCTTTTTAAAGTGTACACTTCACTGTTTTATTCGCAAACACAGGGGAGTGCAACCATCACCACAGGCCAGTTTTAGAACATTTCCATCAGCCTCACCAAAGACACCCCGTGACCCTTCTCCCTGCATGTGAATTCTCATCACTGCAGAGTTATTTTCCCTACTTGACATAAGGACCTGAGACTTGGTCACATCTTGCTCCGGGCGACCTGGGAGGTGTCAGGGCAGGCTGTGGGTTGGGCATGTCTGCTGCAGAGCCCAGCTCCCTCCCTACCCACGACCACTTTCTAGGGGGACAGACAGGGCTGAGACAGAGGCAGAGGATGGGAATGACTAGGACAAGGGAAACCAGAGTCTGGAGTAGGTAGGAATGATCTGGCTGGGTCTGAAGGGCAGCTGATCAGTCCCGGGTGGGACTTGTGGGGCTGAGAGGGGCCATCTGCAAAGCTCCAGTGGAAGTCAGTGAGGATGTGGTGGGGCTCCAGCACAGATCTGGTCACACGGCCCCCAGAGGATGCGGATTCCTAACTCCAATGCAAGTGAAGCACCCATCTCTGAGTTTTCTCCATATTTTCTATCTTCCTCTCAGCCTTACTTCCATTTCCTATTATTGAGCCTTGTGAAAACCCCATTTGTCTCAACTAGTCTGGGGCAGGAGGAGGAGAGGGTTGGTTGCCCTGAAACAGGAAGGTGATGCCAAAGCTAGCAAAACTGGTGATAGAGGCAGGGAGCCAGCAGAGGCTCATCAAGCATTCACTCGCCCATTCTTTCTTTCTTTCAACCATATCTTAGCTCCTATCTGTCCCTTTACAGATGCCTCCACGTGCCATTGGTTCCACAAATATTAGGAATACACCCACGATCCCTTCTTTCTTGGGGGTGAACATCTAGAGGAGGACAGAAGTTGATTGAGCAATTGTGCAAATCCTCAGTTACCAACTGTGATGCGTGCCCTTGGGGTAAGTGTGGGAACCTAGCAGAGCAGATGGGAGGCAAGGCTGACCTCATCTGGGAGGTCAGAGGGAAGAGGCTCCTGAGCTGAGATGGCAGGTCAAGACGAATTACCCAAGCTGAGCAATAGGGGACGCTAGGACATTCAATGTGGAGGAATCAGCGCATGAGGAGGTCCAGAGTTGAGTGGAAATGTGGCAAGTTTGAGAAAGTGGAAGAAAGGCAAAGCTTCTGGAGATGAGGGAACCAGAGGGCATGAGGACAGACAGAACCAGACCAAAGAGAGGTACATGGCTCTCAATCTTTCTGAAGATAAACTGCAAGGGAACCCTAAAAAATTATTTTCCCTGAAAGTAAAAAATCAGTGAAAAAATGTAAATAAAACTTCAAAATTATCATTTAAAAATCGTATCACTGGGTGACATGTGGACTATAGGAGGATGAAGAAGATGGGATCAAGGGTGAATTCTCAGAGTCTGCCCGTGGCAATCATCCTGTTCTCTGCCCAGGGGATGCTGAGGAAGGTCTGGGCTTGTGTGGGGAGAGTTCAAAGGATTTGAATAGTCTTTGTGGGGCCATCAAGATCTCAGGTGGAGAGTGGGGAGAGATTGGGGTCATTTGCACCTCAGGGCATACTTAAGGGTCCCCCCAGACCCTCCCAGGATCAGCACCCCTCTGCTCCCATCTAGAACTGACTTTGGGGTGCAGAGGGCTTGGGGAGAAGACTTACCTTCCTGCGCGTGGATCACCCAGATCAGACAGAGCGCTGGAAGAGAAGCCCCAGTGAGAAAAAATGTCCGCCTCCCAGTTCCCTCATAGGGCTGCTATGAAGGGGCCTTAAGGGAGCCAGCTCTTATAATTCCCAAACCACCCTTCCTCACCATGACATCTGAGTGCAATCCTTTTTCTTGCTCTGAAATAATCTCAAGACAAATCCTGCATCCCCTCTTCCAAACAGGTACTCCTCTCTCCCAGCCCTTCTTAGAGTCTGAACTCATCCCCACACCTGGTACCCACTTCCAGGACTGAATCTTCTGTGGTCAGACTGAGATCCGGGCCAGAGCTGAAGGGGGCAGACCCCAGGGGGCGGGGAGAACCACTTTTGCCCCCCTGGGTCCCAGAGTCTCCTGGACTGGAGTCAGGACTGAGCAGGGAAGCAGACCCCCTCCCCAAGGCTCCCACTCCCTCTGTCCCTGGGATCCTGCCTCCCCATCCCCCATTCCAGGACTCACCGAGGCCCAGGAGGGTGGTGTGATGGGGAGACATGGCCCCGGCCCCGAGCCTGCGCCGTCCTGGAGCCAATCAGAGGAAGGACAGAAACTGAAGCAGACACAAGGGGACAGGATGTGTTAGCTGGGGGGCCCTGTCATGGGGTTTCTACATCAACCGCCTCACAAAAAGGGGAAGTGCTCTCTCTCCTGTCCTCTCCGCAATTCCTGCTGATGAGACAGGGGAGGGTCTTGGCTTCCAAAAGATGTTTCTTCCCCTCAATGCCCAGATGAGGCTGAACTCATCACCAGATGAACGCCCTGAGGTGTGAACCTCATTCTCAATCTACGGGACAAGGCAGAAGATAGATTTGTGCAACAGACTGACTTGAATGTCAATCCGAAATCCACAAACTAGAGTTCTGTTCTTGGGCAATGCATTACACCACTTTATGCTGACGTTTCCTCATATTTAAAAAGGGAAGCCTAAAATTATCTTCCAAGTATTTAATACTATGATATATGCTTAAGTTCCCAGCAAGGTATTTAGTGCATTAAAAATATCCTAGTAACGTGAGTTCTCTTTCCATCTTCCCCCAGCGGCATTGAAATTGGGGAAGGATAGGGTAGCGCATCAGCACATGCAAAATCCTAAAGAGATTGAATGGTCAGGAGACAGACTTTGGGGTTGGGGCCAGATGGGGCACCCAACTGGGTGCTGAAACGAAGAATAAGACCAGGGATGGGGGGGGTGGTGTTTGTGCATCACAGAGCCGAGTAAGACAAGAACTCCCATCATGGGTTCTCATATCCACTGCCTCTGAAGACAAGAAAGAGCTGCTTCTCCAAACGGCAGCTGTGGCAGATATTGATGGTGGTCTACACAGCAGCCATTGCTCACTTTTTCCTTACTAACAGAAACCTAGTTCTGTTTGAGTGGCTATGTTCCACGCTCAGGGCCATGAGGATGAAGTTTGAGTTAAGGCAATCTAGCAATCCCATTTGCAGTGTTTGGTTCAGAGTTGGGCACACGACCATGTACGGCCAACAATACTTAGAATATACCATGGTTTCTGGAAATCGTATTTGTCCCTTAATGACAGAGGGTCTCATAAGATCATTGCCTCCTTTACTCCTGTTCTTCATTGGCAGGTATATCACGATGCTGTGATATCTGGAGTTGCAGCAGCTGTATTGCAACCATGAGGTAACAAGTTTGAACACAACAGCAGAAATACTGAGCAAATTGAGGTGGAAGAATACAAGACTCAAGGTTCCTAGAAGGTCCTTGGATTGCTAAACCAGCCCTAGGATGGCCTACCCCTGGAATTCTTAAAAAGTAAACAATCTAGATTTTCTGTCAAAATGTCAGACTAAGTCTATGGACAAATAGTCCATCTTAAAATACAATAATTATTTTTAAAACATTAAAATATCTTAATACAACATTTTAAAGATCTTGTTAAATGGCTCAAAGAAATGAAAACTAAGTGAAGGCTATATAGTCAAAAATTAAAGGAAGATAAAATTCCCCAGAGTCAAGCTGAATGCTGAACCTGGCTCTCGCCTTGAAGGTGATGAATTAAGTTTTATTTTCGCGGTCTTGCAGACTATAGAGGCTAAAGGATGAAGCCCAGGAATCATTCCAGTTAAGAAGTCTAGGGGGACACTCCCTTTGCTAAGCCAGACCAAAAGCTCCCACTTCATCATAAGAGTAAGTTAAAATTACTCGCCCATTTCTGAGGGCTACAAAGAACACATGGTTTGAAACTTAGCATTAAACAGGAGGCCAAAAATGCTATTCCTGAGAAATGGCTAATGCCAGTGACCCTATATATGTGTCTTTCTGGTCTTTTTCTCTGTGTGTGTCCTTCTGTGGATCTCTCTTTCTCTCTCTCTTCTCGCTCTCTCTCTCTCACACTCACTCGCTCTTTCTCGCTCACTCGCTCTCTCTCTGGGTATCTCTCCCTCTCTTTTCTCTGCTTTTCCATCTCTAATGGCTCCGTGCCCCCATTCCTCACAGCCCTGCTCCTTGGTCCTTTTATGATCAAACCCATGCCCCAAGCTGTGCTTGATGGAAAGGGCTGACTCCTAAGGGTGCCTTTCCCATTTGCCCTTGTAGGCTGGCCAGGCTATTTCTCAACCTTCCCACACACTCAAGACCCAGATAATGTATCTGCCCCATGACTCCAGTTCCTGCCGAACTTGATTCCACCTTATGTAGGGTCACCTGGAACCCTCGGCTCCAGCGGCATTGCCTGCTGTCCATGGCACTGCAGCTCCCCACACCTGCTCCTCTCAGCTCTCCTTCACTTGGGTAATGGCTTCTATGCATTAAATTCTCCTCCTCTCTCTTTTTGTGGGCCTTCGTTAGTGATTTTTAACCAGCTTTACATACAAAAAACTGCATCCACAAATACGTGCAATTCACTGAGCTCTGACAGTTGTGACACCATGATTAGACTCAAGATTTCCACCACCGCCAAAAGATTCCTTGTGTCCCTTTCCTCCCAGGCCATCACTGATCTTGTTTTCTTTGGGTAAAATATTTATTTCTTCCCTAACTTATAAGCAAACTTAGCTTGAAATAGTTTTACATTTTCAGAAAAGTTGCAAAGATGCAGAGAGCTCCCATATTCCCTTCATCCAGTTTCCCGTCATGTTAATATTTTACATAACTGTAGTACATCTGTCAAAACCAAGCAATTAACGTTGCTACAATCATTAACTAAACTACAGACTTTATTTGGATGTTATCTATTTTTTATCACTAATGTTCTTTTCCCATACCAGAATCCAATTCAGAAAACCATACTGCATTTATTTCTCTCTTTCGTTTTAATACTTAGAAGAGTTTCTGTTTCCCTGGTTGAATCTTAATTAACATTCCCAATGTGCCTGGATAGCATATGCCCATGGAGGACGTGGGGATGGGCTGACTATTTGGAAAAGGAATGGCTGAATCAGCAACCATAGTTTCCTCCACCTACTAAGGTCATACTGTCCATCAGGGGGTCATTCTGGATTTTTCCTTAAAGAAGGTGATGCAGAGCTGTCATCCTTCACGACTCTCAGAAAGGATCTCAATCTTTGCATTCTTCTAGGACTCAGGTCTCCAGCTAAAGAAGATTTGTGTCCAAGGCTTATTACAGGATGAGCATAGCACATCTTCCTCAAACAAAATCTTTATTTGAGGTGTGGCACAAATAGTGAATAATGATTCCCTTAATAGATTCAGATATATACACATTTGAAGATTAAATATAAACTGAATGTCAGATGCAAAGACAAAATCTACACAAGATGCAACACGAAACATTATTAAAAGATGAATTTGGTGAAAAAACAGAGAGTGGAAGTGTGGTTACCACGGGCTGGGCAGTGGGAGAATGGGAGAAATGTTCTTTAGGGGTACGTAGTTGAAACTAGCAGGTAAGTAAGTCCTGGAGATCTAATCCACAGCACAGTGATTATAGACAACAAAACTGTCTTCTAAACATTAAATCTGCTAGGGAGTAGACCTTTTTTTTTTTTTTTTTTTTTTTGAGGAAGATTAGCCCTGAGCTAACATCTGCTGCCAATCCTCCTCTTTTTGCTGAGGAAGACTGGCCCTGAGCTAACATCCATGCCCATCTTCCTCTACTTTATATGTGGGACGCCTACGATAGCATGGCTTTTGCCAAGCGGTGCCATGTCTGCACCCGGGATCCGAACCAGCGAACCCCGTCTGCCGAGGAGCTGAACATGGGCACTTAACCACTGTGCCACCAGGCCGGCCCCATGAGAGTAGATCTTAATTGTTTCCACCACTAGAAGAAGTGATAGATGTGTTAGCTAACTCTAAAAAGGCAATCTAATGGCAATGTATCAAACCAATATGTTGCACACTTTACACTTACACAATGTTATATGTCAGCTATATCTCAATTTTAAAAAATGAGTTTGCATCAGAACAGTCCAAATATTCCAAAAATACCCCAGCATGGTCACTCCATGCTGACCAGTCCTTCCGGGACTGTGATGGGGTAACGGTCCGCAGACTCTCACTGACAGACCAGCATTCTCCAGCCAGAGCTTGGTCTTCAGAGAGTTCTGCTTGTTGTAGCCTTGGGTCTTTCCCTCACTACACAGAATACCCAACCTACACCTCAAAGACCTTCATTTCTGGGCATCCTCAGTTTGGCTCAGCAAACACAGAGTCTCTGCTGTGGTGGTCTGGGGAAGAGAATCTGAGCCCCGAATGCCCAAGCCCTCCCCAAGTCATGTGCATTAGCCCACACCTCTGTGCTCCATTCCTCCTGCCTAGGAGAACACTTGGTGTTCATCCAAGAAAGCAACCCATGGCCGGGGATGGACTCACCCACTTGCATCTTATCGTCTGGCCCTCATGCAGAAATGCTCCTGCTGCACTTGAGGCAGGAGCCAAGCAAAATTGAAAAATGTACAGGATGTGGTGGTTGCACATCGATGTCACAGTTTAAACAGCCCCCAACTTAGCAACCATACATACAAATGAGCGGTTTTCTCTCTAGTCTCTTTAGGTCTCTGTCCTTTCCCAGGGTGGGGCTGAGAAAAGAACAGAGCTTCCTGAAACTTTTCTACAGGAGACTCAAGTCTGTGTCAGGCAACCCTGATTCCTTAATCAGTGCTTGACATGAATGGCGTCTGTGCCCCAAGTCTCGTATCCGAAGTGGTCACAGTTTGTTTTTTCCAAATGCTAAATGCATATCAAAGCTTTAAAAAAAATTATTTTACTTTCCTCCTTTCCTGAAATACAAGATATTATTATTATATATAATATTCCTTTACCAACTAAATAGGAGTGTATATTACTCTGGCAAAAAGAAATTGAAACATACATATTCAAATGATCATTCCAACTACAATTTTGACTCAGCAACATTTATAAAGCCACTAATTTTCCTTCATGAATATCAAGGAGTTACCAAACGTATCTTGGAATTCCATATAATTGGCAACGTATAATACATATAAAAACTATTTCTTGAGGTTTTTATCTAAAATCCTCCTGTTCATTGGCCAGATACGATTTCTCTTTCTCCTTCTGTCCCTCTGTCTCCCTCCTTTCCTTTCTTCCTCTTGTTTACTCACTCTTTCGCCTCCCCCTTTCTAAACTTTATTTTTCTTAAAGAAAGCCCTATAGTCCTAAACCCTTGGATGAATACAGTTCTCATTTTGTTTAATCTTGTACTCAGTGGTGTGCTGGAGCCAGCCAGCACAAACCAGTTCCTGACAGCTCATTGTGGACATCTCATTGCAATTTCACATTCGGAAATGCCACTTTGGTATCTTGAAATTACCCCTGGTGTGAGTATTTACAACATAGAAATTGGCAAACGCAACCCTCAGGTGTTTTCTTTCAGTGAGCTGATTGTCACACATTTACCATCACACGCTGGTCAACGCCCAAAGGCCAATTTAAAGAAGATTAAACAGAACATGTAAAGAAAAACACTGTGGAATCAAAATCCTGCAGGAAAACCAGAAAATTCATCAAATCATATCTATTTCTGTGTACCCCATCCTGCCCCATTCCTTCCTCACCTAAGTAACCAACATCAGAAATCTTGTGTTCAAACTTCCCTTGCATTTTTGTAGAGTTACCACATAGATATCTACGTGTATATATATATGTCCATTGCCATTTTTAACTTTACGACAAGTTAGAGTGTTCAAAGTGATTTTTGAAATCTCATCAAATATAGAGTGAGCATGAGTTAATGTTTTATTAATTCATTAATGATGAAATCATCATTCAAAGTTCCTGTCTTTACTCAAATATGGACTCTGCCCATTGTTCCTCCTTCCTGCATGGCTCTGCTTCCATTGGGATTGTTTTCATTTTGCCTGAACTTTTCATTCTTGTGGTACCCATCTGTTAGTGATGGATACAGCTTTTCATTGCCTAAAATGTCTTTATTTCATCTCCAACTTTGAACAGCATTTTCTCCTGTTCTAGAGTTCCAGGTTGGCAGATATTTTCTTTCAGCCCTTGCAAGATGGCATCCCATTGTTGCTGGCGTTCATCATTTCTATTGCAAATAAACTGTAAATCTCATTGCTGCTCCTTTGAGAATAATGTGTCCTTTTTCTTTCAATGATTTTAAGATTTTGTCTGTGTTTCACAAGGTTTACTATAATGTGTCTCAGAGTAGGTGTGTGTGTGTGCATGTGTGTGTATGTGCTTACTTTTATTGAAGTATAATAGCCAAAAAGGGTACATATCAAATGCACAGCTCGGTGAATTTTCACAAATTGAGCACACACGTGCCAGCACCATCCTAATTCACAAACAGAACATTACTAACTCCATGTAAGCCCCATCTATTCTGCTTTCCAGTAACTTCTTTCCAAAGGTAATCCATGCTCTCCTGACATCTAACAGCATAGAATAAATTTGCTTGTTTTTGCTTTTTACATAGATGTGAATATACTCTACATTCTCTGTGTGTGTGTCTGGCTTCTTTGGCTCAACCAAGCGATTGTAAGATTTATCTATAATAATGCACGGAGTTGTGGACCACCCATTCTCATTGCTCTAGGGAATTCTGTCGTGTGAAGAACCACAATGTATTTATCCGTCGTAGTGTTAGTAAATACTTGTTTAGCTTCTGGCCCAGGCTGTGATGGATAGCATTGCTTTGATTATCTTAATACATGTGTATTGATGAGCATATTTGTGCATTTCTGTTGGTATAAACCTAGGAGTGTAATTGGTGTGTTTCATGCTATGCATGTATTCAACTTTAGTAAGTACTGCCAAACATTTTTTGAAGGGATTGTGTCAGTCTGTACTCAGTGCTTTGGAGTGTTCTGGTTACTCTACGTCCTCACCAGCTCTTCAAGTTTCTCCCTTTTTCGTTTTAGTCACGCTGTCATGAGTAGTGGTACATTATCGTGGTTTTAGTTTGCATTTCTCTGATTACTAATTCAGTTAAGAACATTTTCATAGGTTTTGGTCATTTGAATATCCTTTTTATTTTTGAGAAACGACTACTTTAGTCTTTTTCTCATTTCCTCATTTTAAAAAATTGAGCTGACTTTTTTTTTTAACTAAGCAGCAGGAAGCCTTCTATTTTTCTTATTATGGGTATGCATTACTTGTCAAATATATTCATTGTGAATATCTGTTCCTACTCTGGTTAGGGTTTCACTCTCATCAGTCATTTCAAAGAATAGAATTTCTTTTTTTTTTTAAGATTTTATTTTTCCTTTTTCTCCCCAAAGCCCCCCAGGTACACAGTTGTGTATTTTTAGTTGTGGGTCCTTCTAGTTGTGGCGTGTTGGACGCTGCCTCAGCCTGGTTTGATGAGCGGTGCCATGTCCGCGCCCAGGATCCAAACCGGCGAAACCCTGGGCCTCCAAAGCAGAGTGCATGAACTTAACCACTCAGCCACGGGGCCGGCCCCAAAGAATAGAATTTCTGAATCTGATTATGGTCCAGTTTATCTATATTTTTATTTTATATTTAGTACTTTCGTATGCCCTAATTAAGAAATACTTGCTTGCTGCAAAATGTGAAGTTCTCCTGTGTACTGTTCTCAAAGCTTTATATGTACTGTTTAGAGTTATATCTTCAGTCCTTGGGAAATAATGTAGTGTGTGTGTGTGTGTGTGTGTGTGTGATGGGCCCAAACACACTTTTCACTTGGAAATCTGATTTGTACAGCACAATTTGGTGGAAAGACCATCCTTTCCTCATTGTGCTGCTGGTGTCCTGGGTCATGTTGCAGGAGACTGAATGTGCCTGTTACTAATCTCCCTGTTCTGTTCTAATGTTTGCTGTGTGTATCCATGTGCCGGTAACATACAGAACCAGTTGTTCTTGCTTCGTAATAGGGCTTGACATCTGGTAGTGCAAGTCTCTGGCTTTGTTTTTCTTCTTCAAGAGCTCATTAAATAATTTCGGTGCTCTTTATGCCCAGGAAAAAAGTCTCCCTGGGTTTTGGTTGAAATTACATCAAATGCACACTCTGTTTTGGGAGTAACAACGTCTTTACAATGTTGAGTCTTTTGACCCATGGGCAGGTACAGCTGTCCACCTCCCTTTATTTAGGACTTCAACAGTCCTCTAAATAATGTGTCGTAGTTCAGTGTGGCTGTCTTGCACGTCTTTTGTTAGATTTATTGGATTTATTACATGTATTTGGACTATTGTACGTGGCATAGTTCTCTTTTTTGTTTCGTTTCCCTTTTTTTTTCTGATATGAAAAAACATGACTAGGTTTTGTTGATCTATATAACAGCCTTGCAAAATTCATTTATCAATTTTCACAGCTTGTAAATTCTTTTGAATTTTATAGGTACACAACAAGGTGTTCTCTGATCAATGACAGTTTTTATCACTATTTTTCCAATGTTTATATCTTTTATGCCTTTTTCTTGCTTTGTTGTACTGCCTAGAATCACTAACACAATGTTGTGTATAAATGATCATATCAAGATTTCATCTTTTAATATAATGTTTTTGTAGTGTTATTTATATGTTGTTTACCAGATTAAGAAATTTCCTATCTTACTATAGTTTGTGTTTTTTGTTCTGTTTTGCTGTGGTTTTGTTCTGTTTTGTTTTGTTTACCATGAGTGGCCATTTCATTTTGTTAAATTTGTTCTGCATCTGTCAAGATGTATGATTTATCTCTTTTTCCTTTGTTAATGAGGAAAGTTATACTGATGTATTTTTAAATGTTAAAGTATCCTGTATATGTAGTATGAATTCCACTTGGTTGAAAAATATTATTATTTTTATATAACTGTATTTTATTTGTGAATTTTTATTAAGGATTTTTTAACAAGATCAGCTTGTAATATTTTATCTTGTAATATCCTGGTAAGTTTTGAAATCAATGATTTGCTAACCTTCTAAAATGGGATATAGAAAACAGTATAGACGTTCCTCAGAAAGTTAAAAGTAGAACTACCATAGGGTCCAGCAACCCCACTTCTGGGTATATATTCATTGGAAATGAAATCAGGATCTCAAAGAGATACTGTACACTCATTATTGCAGCATCGTTCACAATAGCCAAGATGTGGAAACAACTTAAGTGTCTGTCAGCATATGAATGGATAAAGAAGATGTGTTGTACATAAACAGTAGAATGTTTTTCAGCCACAGTAAAGAAGGAAATTCTGCCATTTGCAACAACAAGGGTGGAGCTTGAGGGCATTAAGCTAAGTGAAATAAGTCAGACAGACAAAACCAAATACTGTATGATCTCACTTATATGGAATCTATAAAAGTCAGACTCATAGAAGCAGGTAAGAGGATGGTGGTTGCCAGAGGCTGAGGGGTGGGGGAGATGGGGAGATGTTGTCAGAGCATACAAACTTCCAGTTATTAGAAGAATAAGTCCTGGAGAGCTAATGCACAGCACAATGATTATAGAGAGCAAGACTGTATTATGAACTTCAAGATGCTGAGGCTCGATCTTAAGTGTTCTCATCACAAAAAAGAAACG